ATAATTAGTGCCAGAGTAATGGCCCTTGATCACTTCAAAAAATCTTGTGGACGCTCTAGAGGCCAAAGTTAATATCCGATTGACTTTAAATTTATACACAGTGTTTAAGGTCATGAGACAAAGAAGCCTATTGATTTTCAGCGATTTCCGATAATTACTGCCAGAGTTATGGCCCTTGATCACTTCAAAAAATCTTGTGGATGCTCTAGAGGTGAAAGTTAATATCCGATTGACTTTAAATTTATACACAGTGTTTAAGACCTTGAGACGAACAAGTATATTGATTTTCAATGAATTTTTATGACTTGGAACAGCTAAATCCATGATACAGTATTAACATTTTTGTATACAAATCGTTAGCATGGGGCAGAACTTTATAAAAACCAAACAAATTTTAATGGTTTTCTGTATTAGATTTTAGTGTATTATAAATGTTTCATTACCGAAAAAAGTAAAAATATCTGACAACTCTTGTTTACTGCCCGGACGATTTAGCTGCTGTGGGCGTACATGTATGTTTCGTTGCCTGGCAACCTATCTTTATATCTGCAACTATTATTGTAAGCGCCTTAGTGGCTGACTGTGCCTTGTTGTGCTCTGTGTTTTTTGTGCCTGTGTTTTATTGTGGATTTTGATATACAAATATATAATGCGCAGACGTGGCATAGTCGTTACTTTCAAATAATTGTAAAACAAATTTTCAATAATTTATATATTTGTGGATAAATTATGTGATAGATTTCAGTTCTATTGTTGTGCATGTGGAACGTTTTGATGCGAAATAGTGTTTGCTGTTTAATGTAACAATTGTGAAGATCGCCTTTCCATTAAGAATTTAGGCCTAATTTTAGGAAACCTAGGTTGAAGACATTATGTAAGTGCCTAGGAGTAGGAGGCAGCTGTGTATTTGTTCTGCATGTGGTTGTTTTTTTCCCCCGCCTTTCAGAGAAAGCAGGCGACTATTAATATGGGTTTGTCTGTCTGTCCATCTGTCTGTCACACTTTTTGGGACACAATAACACTTCTTCTAATTCAGCTAGAATGTTCAAACTTGGTGATGGTGTTCATAAGGTCAATGCCTTGATGGAGACGGAGTTAGAGATAAGCAATTTGATTGGTTGATGCTTTGGGACACGATAACTTTAGTTCTAATTGAGTGAGAGTGATGACACTTGGTGTATAGTTTTATCACATCAATACCTTGACTAACTGCTGAGGGTAAGCAGAGCGATAACCAATTTGATTGGTTGAGACTTTGGAACACAATAACTCCCCTTCTAATTGAGGTAGGATGTTCAAACTTGGTGCAGGCGTTCATTAGGTGAATGCCTTGGAGTTCGATGATGAACATTGTCTGCTTACGGTAAGCAGATATAAGCAATCTGATTGATTGATGCTTTGGGGCACAATAACTTTGGTTACAATTAAGTGGGAGCAATGAAACTCCAAGTATAGATTCATTTTGTCATTACCTTGACTAAGTTCGATGATGAGAATTTTCTGCTTATACTTAGACTAAGGAGGGATAAGCAATTTGATTGGTCAAAACTTTAGAAGATAACAACTCCTTTTAAACTTGATGTAATTGTTCATTAAGTGAATGTCTTGACTGAGTTCAATGATTAACATTTCGAGCTAAAGCTAAGCAGAGCTAAGCCATTTCATTGGTCGATGCTTTGCGACAAGATAACTTTGATTCTATCTGATAGAGAGTGATGAAACTTAGTGTATAGTTGATAATCAGTTTGATTGCCCGATACTTTTGAAAAAGATAATTGTGCGATTAATTATTTATTTTGGGATTTCGGCGGGGACATCAGCCTCACTGTTGGCTTTTTTTTTGTATTTCTGTGCCAAATGGTGCTTCTTGTTTAAAATAGTAACTCAGAATGCAGTATTTCATCAAAATGTTTCATAATAATTTGTATCTATTGTGGCTAGTGAGCTATCTGAATCAACTCACCTGATATCAAGCACAGCTGAACTCTTACAACAATAACCTTCAAGCCGAATCGCACTGTTTTAATAATAATAATAATAATGGCGTGAGGAGTGGAAAGCAGTTGGTTAAAAAGATTAATGTTTTAAATCCAACTATTACCATAGTATTAGAAATGATGCAGTAAAAAGACACAGAACAGTGATCAACAGCATTGATATTAATGCAGTAATAGGGAGAAATAAACAGAGAGGTTTAAAAGTTATCACCACCAACAGACCTTATGAACCTCTAAACACTAATCCACCTCAAACTCTATCAAAAATCACATAAAGGTAGATCAAAAACTTTACAACAAAACGGAAAATAAACAACAATCTTATGCAAATTAGAAAATGAAGCGTCGGTTTTAACAACTTTGTAAGGAATAAAACAACAATTTTATCTGATTATATTTTGAAAATTCAATTGATATTTGTGGAATAACTGAAACGTGGCTCAACAATTGCAGCTTTAGTACTCAATGGATATTCTATACAACATTGCGCTACAGGTTCGCTTGGAGGAGATGTACATGTAGCATTTATATTTAAGTAATCTATTAAGTGTAAGAAAATTGATATTGGAGATAAACAATATCAAAAAAAAAAAATATTTACAGAAACAATGGTAATGATATTGAACTCGCAAATTTATTCTCAGATTTCTTTCAAATAAAAATACAGAAAAATGAACTGAACTTGATTATTTAAATAAAACTGTTATGGACTTTAACGCTCATGATTTTGATAAGTTAAAAAATTCTGTTTATTTAGAAAATTTTAACTTGGTTAGTGAAGCTTTTGTTTTAAAGCTACATGTAATTAAATCATCTGCTCCTAAATCTTGTTGATTAGATCCTGTTTCAACTCCTGTTCTTAAGGACTTTCTAGACGAAGTTATTCCAGTTTTTACCAATATTATTAATTCTTTGTATATCATCTTCTACTATTCCCAAGGTTTTCAAAGTCTACACTGGATCCTAATATGTTTTTAAAAATTACAGACCTGTCTGTAACTTAAGTTTTATTTCTAAAATATTAGAGAAATGTATTGCTTCTCAGATAAAGGCCCATCCAGATGATTTATCTGCTGCTTTCAACACAGATCCTTCTCTTCTTTTATAAGTAGACTTCTTTTTAAATTCTGTATTTGTGGCTCTGCATTAAATCTTTTAGAAAGCTATCTTGTGGGTAGAAAACAGTGTATTTTAGTTAATTGTAAATCGTCACATAAATCTGTTTTGTCATCTGGGGTTCCTTAAGGTTCTCTTCTTGGTCCAATTTGTTTAACCTTAATACGTCACCATTAGGTGATATTGTCAGAAAATATGGTCTCACTTTTCATTTGTAAACCAATGATACTCAATTACATATTTCATTTACACCTAATTGTCCATCAACTTGAGAACTGTATTAGTGAAATTAGAAAATGGCTGTCAAAGAACTTTCTAAAATTGAATCATGATAAAACCGAATATTTGTTATTAGGCTCAAGGCATCAATTAAGTAACCCCGCTGTTGTATTTGGTAATTGTGATATATTTTCATCTTAATCTTATTCTGCCCATAATATTGGCATAATCTTTGATAGTTTTATGGTTATGGGAGCTCAAGTAAATGTCTATAAATTGTGCTATTTTAATATCAGAAATATAGGTAAAATATGTAAATTATGAATTGTAGAGGTCACTGCTACTTGTTAATTTTCTAGTCACATCCCGATTAGATAACTTGCATCTAGACTTGTTTCTTTAACTAAGAAATTCAATCACATAACTCCTGTTTTATATAATTTACACTGGTTACCTGTTAAAGCTACAATTTCATATTTTTAAGTTATATTTTTAAAATTACTAAAATAAAGCCTTGAAATAGATGGTATCAATAAACCGTCCTACCTTGTTAAAGAATAATCCTATTAATCCTATAATTCACTATTGCCAGCTGAGAAATTGGCAAAAATATCATTTTCAACTTCAAATTCCAACGTTTGAAGGTAGCTAATGCATGGAGGCAATAGGAAAACAAGGGAGGTAATTGTGTTATCATTTCCTGTGTCAATGTTTTTTAAGGGTGGGAAATAATGCCCATGGTCGTATAATAGTGAGTTGATCACCTATTGAGAAAAAGACATAGAAATAATTATGTTTTGACGTTCTTAGAAAATATGAAATTCTCGCTTTAAGTATTGAATTGATTTTAAAATTTTATTACTTTTAAATGTTTAAATAATTTAGCTCCTGTTTACATGTACCTCTCAGATCTTTAAGAACTTTAAACACCTGGCCGAACATTACATACATTAGATAAACTACTTTTAAAGTCCAAAACTGTTCAACAAGTCTCTTATGGTCAGCGCTCTTTTAGTTATCAAGCACATGTTTTATGGAATAATCTACCATTTTGTTTTAAGTTGTTGTACATCTCTACAATTTATATACATGTACAACAAATGAGAGAAATATGCTGTGGATAATTTTATATTTATCTTCATTTCGACATCAGTGTGTTTTTTATAGTGCATGGTAATACATGTGAGCTACTGGAATGGTTTTTCTACAGCCAATTCAGCTATTTTGATTTTTTTTAAGTAGCCAAAAGGATATATTTCAGTAATATAATTATCATAAGCCTTACTAATATTCATTTTAGGCCCAATACCGGTATATAATTTTTATGTACACCATGCTGACAAAGTGGTATAGACACGTGAATTCACAATACCCTACCATGAATAAAAAACATGAAATATGAATTTATTTTGCAAAGTTTTCGTGCGTTATTAAAAATGACCGACAGTGAAAATTTTGAAGTGGAAGCCCAGGTTTCAAATATAATTTAAAAAGTTTGAACTGAACACAAGGTTGATTCAGACACAGATTTTTTGTCGTGGATTTGCCCAGAGTGGTTTGAAACAATTTCACTCCGTTAATTTAAAGAAGTAATCTTATACATATAGTTCATTATTCTAGATTACATGTATGTATTAATATCTATATATTTTCTTTTCTTTTTTTCAGAATGGCTAAAAATGGCCAATTGCGAGCTGCCCACAACAACGTCCCTTAAACAGAAACTGGAGGACGAATTCCTCTCATGTAAAATTTGTTTGGAGCCGTTTAAACGACCAAAAGCTCTGCCATGTCTACACACTTTCTGTGAAAATTGTTTGAAAGACTATGTGCGCCGTAATCCTGGCAACAAGCCTGGTTATTTCCCTTGTCCCATGTGTCGGAAGGATACATATGTTCCATTACAAGGAGTTGAGGAATTCCCCGATAATTTCTTTGTGTTGAGTCTATCGGACACATTACAAGAAAATACAGTCTTTTCACCTCACAGTATACCAGTCTCACCGCCAAAACATATTTGTCCACCTTCTCCTAAAGAGAAAAAACTACGAACACACGAGTAAGACTTTTTTATTATTTCTAGTAGATCATATTTTCTAATTTGTATTCTCCTAGTGAGTCATTCGGTTTCAAATAAACTAAAAAAATGGAAAAAGTAAGCTGTACCCTGTCTAATTTTCCAAGAATTTGCTTTGTAATTTGTATGCTCATTTTTCATGAAAAGACAAATTTCAATTTGATAGGATTAGGAGAAGTAACTGTTCCTGAGATAATTTTATAACACACTGAATTTTGAAGATTTTGGCCTAAAAGAACATGGCTGCCAAGATTCAAATGCCTATACATGTAGCTCAGTAACCAATTGCACGTTCCAGAGTTACCCCACCCATTTTTGAAAACCTTGTGAGCGCAGTGGCTATCTTTATTATTACACAAGTCATTCGTCGTATTTCTGGATTGATTTTTGTAACTAACCATATTGCAATTTTATGGTAAAATACATATTTATTCTAGCTGGTATTTCGGCAAAGTGACAAGAAATGCATCCGAAGAATGGTTGTTATTACCAGATTATCCCAAGGGGACTTTTTTGATACGACAGGGTGAACAATCTCCAGGTAAGTTTTATTATTCAACGGACTGAACAATCTCAGCATTTGATTCTGAGATCGGTTGCTCTTGTCTGTCTGATGATATTCAGTCATTTGATATTGGATATCAGAAGTACATTGTCCTCAAAAGACCATTGCCGAGGAAAATTTAGAAAAAAAAAAAATGAAAGTTTGAATACTTTTGGGAAGGGTGGAAGACAAGGCTACATATTTCTTTTTGCCCAAATTGAATTAATATTTGTAGAATTATGCTGCTTTTTTGCCGAAACCTCAGTGCAATAGTGGCCAGATTTTTTTGGAAACGTTCAGGAAGCTTGCATTGTGACAAAACGAGGATCCCTATTTCTTTTTGTCAAAATCTGATAAATATTTTTAGAATTATGACCCTTTGTTTGCCAAAACCTGTACACACTGCTTGTAATGGTTGTCAGCATGATAGAGGCCAGAGTTTTGATCAGATTTTTATACGCCCACAATTTCATGTGGATATGTACATGTATATTGTTGTCGCCCCTGTCCGTCCATGTGTCCGTTCACAATTTGTCTGTGGACGCTCTACAGGGTCACAATTTTTATCAGATTTTGATGAAACTTCAAATATAGGTGTATCTCGCACAGATCTCAGATCTTTTCGAAATTGGCATGTACATGTATTGGACCGTAACTTCGTGGATTATGGCCCCTGATTGTACAAAAAATCATGTTTTTAGCTTGTGGACACTCTAGAGGTCGCAGGTTTTATCCAATTTTGATGAAACTTGAAATGTATGTTTATAACCCAAAGATCTCGGGCCCTTTCGATATTTGTGCATTTCAGACCATAACTTTCTGGATTATGGCCCCTGATTGTTTGAAAAATTGCTTTTGTTTTTAGCTTGTTCTCCATCCATCTCTTGCAAAATGTCGGCGTATCTTGCCTGGCAACCGCTGGTTAGTCTAGGCTACAGATTTGTACAGATCTATTTATTGAGAGAGAGAGAAAGATCTCCAGTCGACACATACTAGGTCACTTCGGGACTAACACATGGTTCTATTTTATTTCAATAATTCACTTGCGCGTAGGGAGGGGTTTTTAGCAGTGGGAGGAAACTGGAGGACCCGGAGAAATTCCAAGAGGTTGGATAAGGCGACCCTACTCCTTGTCACGTACAACCGGGGAATCAAAACAGTGCCAGTTGACTCAATGACAGACCTTATGATACAGATTGCACGCGCTAACCATTCGACCCCCCCCCCCCCCTGTCGTCCACACTTTCTTGTGAACACTCTACAGACTACATTTATCATTTGATTGTTTTGAAATTGATATACGTTAACATATTTAATTTCAATAATTTCCGTTAATTTCTTCTTGAGTTATGGCCCTTGTTTCATTTTATTGCATCTTTATGAACGCTCTAACGACAAAAATTATCATCCTATCTGTATGAAATTTATAGGCATCTTTTAAATTAGTGAGACGGAGAAGCAATTTCCATTAATTATGTCTAAGTTATGCCCCTTGTTTCACTGTCGAACCCTTTGAATGCTCTAACAACAAAAGTTATCATCCGATCTGTATGAAATTTGTATGCATTATTTAAAGTGGTGAAACAAAGAAGCCCTTGTTAGACTTTTTCGAACACTGTGAACGCTCTAATGACAAAAGTTATCATCCGATCAGTATGACATTTATATTACGTCTAAAGTTATGACAGTTGTTTTACTTTGTTGAACTTTGTGAACGTACGAACGACAAAAGTTATCATCCGATCTGTATAAAATTTATATGCATCATTTAAATTAGTGAAACGAAGAAGCCTATTTAATTTTTGTTAATTAGTTCTAGAGTTATAGCCCTTGTTTGACTTTGTAGAACCTTGTGAACGCTCTAACATTGAAAGTTATTATTCGATCTGTATGAAATGGTCTTGTACCTATAAATAAATAACTATGCGACAACCCTTATTGACCACTCGGACGACTGAGCTGCTGTGGGCGTAAGGTTAGTTGCTTGGCAACCTATCTTTCAAATTTGGTGTGAAGCATTGGGATAGGGAGAAAACGACGCCCAAACCCTTATCAAATTACACTGCCCCACAACGAGTCGTTAATCAGTTATCCCCGTTTTTCCGAAACCTTGTTAATGCAATAGATTGTACAGTTTTTAACAGATTTTTTTCTCAAATTTGGAGTGAAGTATTAGGGTCATGAGAGGACGAACAGGGTAATTATATAGACAAGCAATAACAAACCATTGTTGATTTTCCCGGTTCCTCTGTCAATCTATTGCAAAATGTGGGCATACATATCTTGAATGTTGACAGCATTTAACCAGCATTAGGGACGATGAGAGGATGGACCTTATTGATTTGCCAGTTCACCTTCCATATCTTGGAAAATGTGGACATCTGTGCAGCCGCTTATTTAAAAGCCATACAGTTTTTATCTGCCCCAAGCTTGAATATTTACTGCCACAGTTGGACTTCAAACCCCATTCTTCTATCCTTGTGCTTGTTAAAGATTGAAATATTGTACTTACCGTATATATTATATTGTGTATATTATGACCTTGTATATTTTAGATACATACACATTGAGTGTAAGAGATTGTGATGAAATACGTGGTTACCTTGTTAAACACTATAAAATTATTGCACGCAAGGCTGAAGGGAACTCGCATTTATTTTTTATTACACAGAAACGGGTTTTCTCTTCCTTATTAGAATTAGTGGATCATTATATGGGTAAGTTGTTTTAAATACTATTTTCAACGAAACCAACACTTGTTTGATTATAAATGTGAACCATGGTGCCTCAGTGAGTAAAGCACTGACTCACTAACCAGGATGTCTAGTGTTGGTAGAGAAAGGTACCCATGATTAGTTCTGTACGAAGGATGGTCTGACAAGGAACAAGGAGTCTAATCTTTCGGATGGGACATAAAACAGAGGTCCCTATCTATACACATTAAATAACTCTTGATGTGTTACACAACACACAGATTTATATTTGTGTTTATAAAGAACACTGTTAAAACAAATATTTTTTAACATGAGGGGTATATATATTCACTGTAACTACTGTAAGTATTTGTGAATACACAGTAGACTGTCTTTAATTGATTTTTCTTCAATTTCGATGTAAAATGAAATGGGGTTTAATATCCTACTGTTCTGCTCTGACTCGGCTAATGAAAACGGGTAAATTCAATGTGATTTTCCTTCTTCTCCGCCTATCTTAAAATTCCAAAATGTAGGCGTCTCTTGTTTGGCAACCGCTTGTTGACAGAATTCAATTCAATTTGGATTGTTTGTGTATTTCAAGGAACAAATCTGATTACCAGTACAATAAAAAAATAATAAAAATGAATGGAAATCAGTTCATATTCACTCATATTACATTAATATATGCTTTTTGACCCATTTTCGTCCATTTTAGTTTTCAAAGAATAGAGATTTAGCTCCTTTAACACTGAATGAATACACTACGGTTAATAATAATTGGTTTATATAAATTGACATATATCGTAAGATTTGTCATATATTCTGAAGTAAACAAAGTACTTAAAAATTGTTGATATTTTTTTTACAGAAATCCCAGATGGGTTATGTTGTAGATTAACCCAGGTATGTAATAAACCCAGATCATTACTATGGGCGATGGAACGCGGTAAGGAAGATGAGTTTGCCACAGAAAGAAGCCAAGTTTCTTTTATTAAAAAGGTTGGCAGTGGACAGTTTGCAGATGTCTATTTGGGTAAGTTTCTGGTTATTTGGTTTACTTTTAAATTAGTAATAATCATGGCCATCTTAAAATGAAAATATGTGATGTATCCTGTTTTGTGGTATAGTAACTAAGGCTTCTTTTGTCTACATCAAGGAAATGATATGGCAGGTGTTTTAGAAAGAAAAAGTACACAACCCCTGTCAGTATTTAAAGTGGTCGGTTGACATTGGTTTTCACAAGGCAAAGTTATTTAGTTAAAAGCAACCTTGCAAAATTGCCTATTGTCTGCGATATCACCTCGGTGGAAGCAGACGTAAAATACAACTAACTCATCATCATTGCCTATGAAAGTCATGGGGTTCGTTCATAGGTTTGTGAGCGACCAGGTCATTATACCCCATTTCATTTCATTGTCATTTGTGTCTTGACTGATAAGAAGTAAAGTGTAAGATATTGTACAATTTAAAGGAAAGGATATAAAAACAAGCCAAGAATGTTTACATTATTAATTAGTGCCCTTGATTGGTAACCGTACCATTTATATATGATATATGAAAAAGACAAAGCAACATTATAAACTTTAGTTACAAGAAATAAATACTCTGGTTTCTGCCCTTTTTAAAGAACCCAACATGGAAGTGGATTATTAGAATAAACAAAAATATATAGTTCTTGATTAGTGTTACGATGAGGTTAATACTCTAAAATATATTATTTTTTGTTACGTCTTCAGATTCTAAAATATATTGTATGTTGGTTTTTTTTCACAGGTAAAATAGGTCAGTCTGTAGATGTAGCTGTCAAAGTTCAAAATCGTGATTGTGTATCCACGGCAGCATTTTTAGATGAAGCTCAGATTCTAAAGACATTACAACATCCTAATATTATTCGTTTAAAGGGAATTTGTAGTGGCCTTGAACCTGTATTTATATTAACAGAGTATATGTGTAATGGCCGTCTGTCATTGTATCTACGAGAGGGTTCTGGGAAGGATTTAACCCAACATCAGTTAATACGAATTGGAGCACAGGTAAATATTCCTTCCAAATCAGTAGAGCACTGGAACTTGGGTACCATTTACTTGTTTCTTTCTAACGTGAGAAACTATACATATGGTTTACTTTCAAATTATCGTTTGATAGTAGTTACAACAATTTTATACACGTAACCTCCAAAAATCATATACTTGTACGTTTGTGTAGTTGACCGTGTAATTGAGACGTGTATTAATCATGTCCCGTTTATTTATCTATTAGATGAACCGTTTAATTTCCTGGGATGCGTTTAGACGTTGACTCATTATCGTGTGAATATTGATAAATTACAACATGACATGAGTCACATGACATATTTCTGTTTATTTTGGATTACTGTAACTTGTACAGATCTTTATATAGAAAAGATGTTGTCCATTATTAGACAATAATAATTTGTTAAAAAAAAAGAGGTTTATTTGTCTGTTTTTTGGAGTAACTGTTGACATCAAAAATGACACACACTCTCTACTAAAATTTAGAGACGTCAGTCACTCAGATAAGATGCATATCTATTATGATTAGGATGCTATGGTACAATTTGTATCCTGATTTATGACCACGTCACAATGTTGACTGTAGAAGTGGATTTAGATCTACTTTCATTTTGTTGTGGGGCGAAATCGTGGTGCCTTGCCATGTACATGTAATTGGCTCATGCACAGGAGAGCACCATACGTACTGTTGGGTCTACCAGAACGGCCCTTTACGTTAATAGTCTGTTAATGTTTTTTGCAGCAATTGACTAATGAGGGATGGTGACCCAAATGTCCTGCAGACTGCTTCACATCTTAGCATTCCTGATGCCAATAATTGCAAACCCCATTGCTGTAGTGAGTTGTCATGGTCCCATTGTGGAATACAGTCCGTGAACACAGCCATTTTAAAACTTTCCCAATTACAATGGCTGATTTACCAAACATGCTTTTCATGATTGAAGGGGTTCATGCTTTCCTTGCACCGTAGGTCTGTTGCACTGGCAGCTTTCACTGTTATGTATGTGGGACAGAATACGTTAAAAATTTTATTTCACTTTCGCATATATTTATTTAGATGATAAATTTCTCTGTAGCACATAAACATTTGGATGTTGTGATACTCTTTTCTCTGTTTATATACAACAATCAAAAGCCAGTACTGCATCGAAAATGTTAACAACTCAAAAGTACGCATCTGACAACACAGGTGCATTATGGTAGTCTTATTTATTATAGTAAACATGTCTGACTAACTAACATCGTCTACTGCAGTGTTATTGTTCTAACTTTATCTGAAGTCATGATTCAAGTGCATATTTACGAGAAAAAAAGAACCATAAAAAAACTAATGTAAACTAGGTTATTATTATGATTTTGTACATTTTTTTCAGATTGCAGATGCAATGGCATATATGGAGAAGGAGAGGTTCGTCCATAGAAATCTTGGAGCGAGAAATATCTTGGTAGGAGAACAGAATCGCGTAAAGATTGCTGGTTTCGGTATGACTAAAGCTACAAACAATCCAGACTTTAACTTCAGAAGAGGTTAGGAAGAATTAAATATTTCAAACAAATCATATCGTATAGAAATAACTTCATTACTCATTAAATTTCTCTATTTTCTGAGACATTTTTTTGTCATTCAACAAAGTTTTTAGCTATCTAAGATAAATCTTGTATCATTGTACACTTTAAATAGTAAGTGGCGGAGAACGACACCACACACAAACAAACAGCAACACATATGACTTACCCACAGACAAGACATACAATACACCAACATAAGCAATGAACAACAAAAGTATTATCAAATCGAGTGAACCGATCAGCGGGCCAACCGTAAATGTTACTGCACTGTACAATCCTAGGCCTGAAAAGATACAGACTTTATTGAAATATGGGATGCAATCCACCTAAAAAAGGGAATATTTCCCAAAAATTGTATAATACCACAATGTTATCAAGGTATTTCAGTGTTAGTAATTTGAAGAAAATGGTTTATAACTATTCAGCCTAGGATAATAATAATCAATAGGGTTTATTATACAAAGTCATGTCAAAAGTCATTTTTAGTCAAAAATTGGGTTGTTAACTCTAAACAATTTTATACCTCCCTGTCCATCGGTCATCCACAATTGCTTGTGGATGCTCTAGAGGCTAAAGTTAATATTTAATTGACTTTAAATTCATACATAGTGTTTAAGGTCATGAAATGAAGACACCGATTACATGTATTACTGTCAGGGTTATGTCCCTAGATTGATCACTTTGAAAAATCTTGTGGCCACTCTTAGAGACTGAAGTTCTTATCCGATTGACTTGAAATTGTGAAAGGTCATGAAGTTAAGATGCATTTTGTTACAGAGTTATGTCCCTTGATCTCTTTGAAATATCTTGTCTAGTTATTCATCAGATTTCAATTAAAATGATTTTCAGCAATTTCTGATCATTACTGCCCTTGATCACCTTGAAAAATATTGTGGACGCTCTGGGGGCTAAAGGTAATATCAGATTGAATTAAAATGTATACATAATGTCATTAGATGAAGAAGCCTATAGATTTTCAGTGATTAATGACAGAATTATGATTTTCAGCAATTTCTGATCATTACTGCCCTTGATCACCTTGAAAAATCTTGTGGATGCTCTAGAGGCTTAAATTATCATCCGATTTACTTGAAATTTATACACAATGTTACAAGGTCATGAGGGGAGCCACCATGGCTAAGTGGGTAGGACGCTGGCTCGCTAGCCTGGAGGTCGCATGTTCGATCCCTGCATTGGCCTAGAAAGTTCATTGTGATTTTCCAGCATGGTTTCCCCTTGTCAGTGGTGCAGGACAGAGGGCCTGACAAGGACAGTTGTCTAGTCATTCAGATGGGACGAAAAACCGAGGTCCCGTGTAAACATTGGCGTGCACGTAAAAGATCCCTTGGCAGTTGGAATTCGATATAAGAGTCGGCCATAGTGCTGTTGCACGGGCAAAACATCCCTCATAGCACACTGTATGGCGTATGCTCGCCTTCATTAGCCCTGTCGGAGCTAAGGTCAATAAGGTCATAAGATGAAGATGCATTTTGATAGCGATTGCCAGAGTTATGTTTTTATAGTTATCATCCGATTGCCTACAAAAAATTTTTATTTACATAGTGTTTAGCCTTCTGATTTTTAATTCATCATATGGCCTGTTCTGTATAATAAAGGTTAGCATGGGGAGTAACAAGAAGCCAATCAAATTTTGATAATTACTTAATAGGCTATTACTCTTAATTATATTTTAATATCTTGTAATCATAATCCATTACTGACAAAAGAACAGATATGTAACAACCCTTGTGGACTGTATGGATGACTTAGCTGGTGTACTTTTATGTTTGGGGGGTTGGATGGCTGAATGGTTAGCGTGTGCGCGCGCTGTATCATAAAGTCTGTCATTGAGTCGACTGGCGTGGTTTCGAATCCCCGGTTGTACGTGACAAGGAGTAGGGTCGCCTGTCCAACCTCGTGGGTTTTCTCCGGGTCCTCCAGTTTCCTCCCACCGCTAAAGACCCCTACGCGCAAGCGAATTATTGAAATAAAATTAAAACCATATGTTAGTCCTGAAATGACCTAGTTTGTGTCGAGTGGACGTTAAACCCCATTTCTCTCTCTCTCACTTTTATGTTTTGGTCGCTGCCAACCTATCTGATATGATGCATTGGGACAGTGAGAGGATGAGCCCTATCGATGTTCCCTTTGTTTGCCTTGTAAAATGTGGGGGTATCTTGCATATGAACCGTTTGATTTAAATTTGGTGTGAAGCATGTGTATTGGCTTATATGAGAGCACAAACCTTATCGATACTCAGCGTTCCCAACCAATAACACCAAGCTTAGAGGGTTAATATAGACAATGTACACACAAACTGGCTGACAAATCAAAAACAAACAATACATAAATGTAGCAGACAAAAAATAATAGATGTATAAAATTGCTAATTTAAAATGCAAAATAAAGTTATATAACCATGTCTCCTGCAGGATTAAAGATGGCAATAAAATGGATGGCACCAGAAGTTTTACTATATAATAAATATAGTTCACGTGCAGATGTTTGGTCATTTGGTGTTGTATTGACAGAAATATTTACATATGGAAAGGAACCATATGAGGGTAAGTACATTTAAATCATTAAACTATAACAGATGTATTGTTGACATCAAGAAAATTACTGATCACAATATGGCTCCTACGCTAAAACTCAAAATCATTTTTTTCTCTTTATATTTTGAATTTTAATTCTCAGGTGACATACTAAATTTTATATAAGATTACCAGTTAAGTTATCAAATCATGAAAATCTGACCATAAACGTCACAAGATTTTATGATTATTTTTTGTTTAAAACATTATTTTTATTCGGTATTCAGGAATTCTGAATGGGATTGGGGAACAGGCTTAGTATGTAAAACTCCTCTTCCTAAATAAGATTTCATGATGTTTATGAGAAGTGAAATATGAACCCTCTGTTGTCCCCCAATTTCTTGCGATCAGTGAAATGAACTTTCTCGGCCACACTGGGATCGAAACATGGGGCCTGAGACTAGCGAGCCAACATCTTACTCACTGAGCCACTGCAACTCCCTCTTATTGTCATTGCTCACTTGGCTCTAGGTTACTAATAATACTTCATTACTCTTTGATATATAGTAATATCCTGTCAATGCAATATTTTAGACTAATTACAAACTAGGTTTATTTAGTTAGTTAAATTTAGATCTACTGTATACAATGGATATTTCTTTTTAAAATAGTAAACCTGATATTGGTCAATAAAACCCACCATTTGAGCAGATAATTTACATTGACATGCAAGATCCGCTGAAGCTGTCTGAACCTTATTTGTCTTTGATTGACACAGACACTTATGTCATGGTTTGAAATGAAATGTAGGGGCTTGAACTCTGGCAAGAATTTGGTAAAGCTTGAGAAGGATGTATGATTTAGTTGAATAATTCACGATATTCTGTATTGCAAGAATTTAATCTGAGTTGATTATGGCCACATTGAGATGTGATCATATATTGTTGTCATCCCTTGTGCTTGTTGACGCTCTACAGACCAAAGTTAATATCCTATTGACTTTATACACACTGTTTAAGGTCAGGAGACGAAGAATCGTATTGATTATTAATTCTTTATGATAATTACAGCCAAACAAATTCTAATGATTTATGATAATGGGTTAGTCGCTCTTAAAATGTGTTGAGTGTGTTGTCTTATTTTTTCAGGAATGGCCAGTAAGGAGTCTTTTGAAAACGTTCAGCGTGGTTATCGAATCCCACGACCAGAGAACTGTCCTCCTGAGGTTTATGACGTCATCTGTACGTGTTGGCAGACGAATGCCCACTCCCGCCCAAGCTTTGACTTTTTAAATACTTTTTTACACGACTATAATGACAGCTGATTGATCTGTTCTGACTAAGATTTCTGATGAAGTTTGTGGAAAGTAATAATAGATGAAAATTGAATCCTGGAGGTGTGTGACTGATTGAATTAATGTACTGGTTGTCATGGATACCACATTGTCTGCTCATTATGCTCACTATATTTTACTTTTAAGTGCTCACTTCAAAGTTGACCCAATTAACTTAAAGTGGATAAGTGCTAATTAGTAAGTGGTAGTGAAAAACTTTTTAAAAATGACAGTGAAATTCCTTTCTCAGATTGTGAAATAAGTCTTAAGCCATTTTCAGCAAGCAACACTGCATATTTTAACAAAGGAATAGTAAATATTTTACAAGTGTTGAGTGTGTTTATTCAGACTGAATCTAATGTGGAAACAGATAGAAAAGACCAGCAACTATAGAAGACCTGTAAGAAATCAAAGTTAAAGTTGTATACAGTAGACCGTGGCTATAGTACTGTTCATACAGTTGGGTCAGCATGGCTAGCAATAGCATTATACTATTATTTATAGTGAAAGCCGTGTATATAATATAAAAGGGATCACAATCTAATGGTGAGACCCTAGTATATAATTATGTTGTATTTTTAGGGCAGAAATGACAAAACTATGAAATTGTTCAGGGAATCCAATAATAACTTACATGCTTGAAATAAATGTATAAAATATTTGATATAATTAATATATGATGTAGTCTCATTTAAAATATCTTACTAATCATACACATTAATTACATTTATAAATTATAATCACAAGTCTTAACTAAAAGTAAAATTACATAGACATTCACACCCCTTCTTGTGAGGAATAGGTGCAATTAAATTTCATGTTTTATACTACAGATATGGTATCTCTTATATGAAAAACAATTTTCTTGTAGATTTGTCTCAATAACTGACACAATAATAACTGTGTAATTGCTGCTATCAAGTCACACAATAGCCACATGACACGATAAGACTTAGTATCAAATTTCAGTTATTTATAAACGCTGCATACATTTCACATACTGCCGTGTAAATATTAGTTAACAAAATTTCTGTGGATCATGTAAAATAAATTGTACCAAGAACTCAAGCAACCAGATGTTAAGCTTATTTAAATTTAGCATGACTAAATAATGAAATTTATTTCCGTGCCATGAATGGAACAAATTTTGCCGTATGAAATAGATATACATCGAAAAGAATTTGTTTTAAACGTAATCTTTACTGCTCTAAAAATTTATACTAAATCAAGTTTTTTCATTGATGAAGGTGGTGTAAAATTACACAGGATTTATGGTTCTATGGTATGTTTAAAAGTTCATCGCTTAAATAGCATGGGTACACCCCCGTAAACTAACAATATAACATGCATTCATCATGTAAGAGATAATAACTTGTTTATATCCAATCAAAATATCGTGTCTTAAATAGTGTCAGATCTCGTTTTAGATCAACATGCTTTCACACTGTAAACTGTATTCGTAATTTATAAGATGGTGAGTAATCGGTTTTATGTTTGGTCAATTATAATTATTTCTTAAATAGAACAAGTGTCCCTTTTACAAAACAAATTACTGATTATAAATCAGAATCCATGCTTTTAAATTATAGGGCGAAACAGAGAGTTCAAAGAATTATTGGCAACAAAACATCTATAAATATGGACACCAATCCCCATGAAAACTATTTTCTTTTAGTTTTAAAGTGATATGTAATTATAATTGTTTGAGTATTAGCGATGTAAACTAAGTTAGATGATAAAAACCAGTGTTACTTTAAATTCATTTGAGATTTTTAAAGAAAATATATTCTTGGTTGTGATTTACCACTCTTGGGTGTCTTATTTATCAATGTATAAAATGAATGATGTTCTTACAATCAAGGTAAGACACCCCATTTATGCATCGTTATGCTTTTTTCATATTTTTAATAATTTTGAAATGGTCAATGAAAGTCTTTATGTATATAACAGTGAAGTTTATTGGTGCTAGAGAAAAATCATGAGTTTTGCTAGATTTATCACATGTTTTGTAAAAGAGGTACTCATGGTATTTAACTCTGATAGTATTGAAGTTAAAATGATTTTTGATCAGGCATAAAAATAATATTACATGTATAAATTGAAAATGCAGTTTGTTGTGCGAAAGCATGTAAAATGTCTCTGTTACATATAAAATGATTTTTTTTAAAACCTAAATAAAAATATAGCTACCATCTTTTGGGTTATTCCCCATTTTCCAAAAACCTTTGGAATGTTTAATGGTCAGCTTAGGGCTTCACCTAGTCTAAATCAAAATCAGATGACCCTATATCAATATTTACTTTTCCTTTATGAAACCTCACCACTCACTCAGGTGAAAGATAATGTGTGTACCTGACAATAATTTAACATATCTTTGTTCTCAGACCAGCCATTTTCTGTTTTCTTTTAAATCATTAATTGTTTAATCTACATCTATGATTCTAACTGTGCAATATAATTGCATTTTAGGGGTTATTTATAGAATAGTTTAACTTAAAGGAGCTTAATCGCTAATATTTGGGACCTAGAAATTGACACAAATGGGTTGCAATGTATGTAATATAAATATATAGAAACTGATTTACATTCAATCTTTTCCGTTTTTACTCTAATTTCAAATCAGTTATGTTTGGCAAAATATGCCAGAAGTCTCAATCGAATGGCAACCTCTAGCGGCTAGTTATTCCAGTCAACACGAATACTATTTATTATGCATGTTCTCCAGAGAAGAACATGGCGTCACCGTTTGACATGACTTGTGGAATATGTCTAGCCTCGTTCTTCGAAGGGGGGGGGGGCTGAATGGTTAGCATGTGTGCGCTGTATCATAAAGTCTGTCATTGAGTCAACTGGCATGGTTTACATTCCCCAGTTGTACGTGACAAGGATTAGGGTCGCCTGTCCAACCTGCTGGGTTTTCTCCGGGTCCTCCCATTTTCCTCCCACTACTAAAGACCCCTACGCGCAAGCAAATTATGAAAATAAAATTGAACCATGTGTTAGTCCCAAAATGACCTAGTTTGTGTCGAGTGGACGTTAGACCCCATCTCTTGGAGTCCCTTGTTACAAATGGCGGTGAAACGCATTATGGTACACGGTTCGTGTAACAATGGTAAAATGCTTATTTTGTCTTAAATATTTGATATTAGAAGCCCATCTTTTACCGGTAAAATCACAACATCAATGTTGATTTAAATTGACAAATAATTCGTGTTTTCAATGTCTAAGACTTTGGATGATATTGAGTTAGAGACTTAGCTACTTTAATTATTGCACAGCTTAAATAAGTTATTTGTACTATACTTTTTACGTCAACACATTTAATCATGGTGATCTGACGTTTAATTATTACAACCGCATTAACTCAAAAGATAAAAATACTTATCTACTAAAAGTCTTAAAATTTTATGATATTTCATGTTTTATTTTCAAGATATTCAAGTTTGTTTACACCATCTTTGTTGACATTTATTTTCAACCAATCACTGCCATTGACCCATTGAAATATATTGATTGTAGATATATATATGTATATAAACAAATATATACGTTTTTCTGGTAGAGTTTTATTAACGTTTTATTGTTTAATTTAGAAATGTTTTAAAAAAGCCTACAGATTTATTTATGCTAAATTTTATACTCTTGAATGTTTTTTGTTTACATGTAGCTGATTTGAAATGTTGATTTCTATACACAATAATTAAACAGAACAGATAATTGTTATAGATACTATTGGGGTTTTGCATTCTTTTCTGTTCATTGTGTTTGACAGAAATGGATGTAAATTTTGAATGTTTACTGTTTGGAGTGATGGTAGTTGTGTTGATCCCCACAATAATCAGATATGATTAAAAGTGAAAGCAAAGTGTTAGTGTATCATTTTAAACTATTACCTCTTCATCATGCTCATTTTAGATAACATAAATCGTATGGTAAAAGTAAAGTGTACATTTAACAACTGCTCAATAAGACATACATATTATGTTGAGCAAACAGTGTACAATCATGGATAGAGCACAGACAAAGTAATATGACAATTGAATCTGTGTTGCTCAGTGTAATCAATCTATGTGTGCTCAAACTAATAATTCAATAATGTAGCAAAATAGAGGCAATAATAATTTTTCTGGCTTTAATGAATAGTTACAAGCCCCTGTGAATATGATAAGGATATTTTGTTGACAGTATTATCAAATGATTTGCAAATAAGTTTCTATTCAATCTAAGCCTTGTTGATCTTTTAATAAGGTTTTAAAATTAACAATATCAGGCATTATTTTATACACCAGGAAGTTCGTGTCATGAGTAACAAGCTTCAAATGTTTATCGCTTTTTCAATGTTATTCTTCCTGATATAAGCAATATTGTAAAACAATATATTTTGACTGTCTTTGTTTTATTAATGATTTTTTTTTATAAAATAAATCATATATATATGATTAGAAATAAAACTGGAAAAGACTTGAAGCAATAAATAAAAATATAGTTTAGTAAAATAATTAAGAAATTTTAAAATATCATCTGACTGGTACTGAAATTGACCAGCTGTCTGTAATGTATATGTCATATATTTAGGTATATGTAATTCAATGAATTTAACCTTAAAACACTGAATATAGTTAAATTTATAATATGGTTAATAGATTTAGGAAAATTGTTCTATTCTTTGAAAAAAAAAAAAGAAGAAAAGGCTGGCTAATTTAAAGAATTAAACTAACTGGCAAAAGTTTGAAATGTTAGCCTTGTTACAGTGTCTACTTCTTCATTCTGATAAACAACAAACCATAAGTTGTTAGTTGTGTTTTACGTCCGCTTCCACCGAGGTGATATCGCAGACAAGCAAACCATAAGCTAGCTGTCTGCCTTAAATAGATGTAATCCGGGAATGACATCAAATCGTTTTTTCCAAACGATAAGTCACATGACAGGGCACAAACAGTGGCACCATTATGTTTGTTCAAAGGTAGATAGACTATTTTTAAAGCATCAGCAGAATCTAAAAACAAGTTTAAAATGCAAATAAATACTGTGTCTGATCTCACAGGGGCCTAGTCGGCAATAGCGTAGCCTACTTATAATTGGAGATTGCCTTTAAAGTAGCAATATCATTATTGTATAAAAAGCAAACAAGGTCCAGTCTTTAGGTTAGTACATTATCTACAAACTTACTGAATCTTATAAATCTCCACATCTTTCAAAAACAACAATTGATGTTCAAATTTCTCCAATTGATTGGCAACCAAAATAACATCTGATTACACAAAGTGACTATCTTGAGAATTGGAATTAACCAAGAATATTACAAGTACTGCAGCTGAAATGGTTACATTTTTAATTAATATGCATGTTCAACTTTCAGTATGATAAAAGACTGATTGATGACAATTTCATTTAAAGTCTCCTTTGTGGTTTTAATAATGAAGAGACTTGAAAAGATATAAACATTGGTTAGTTTGTTATTTCCTTGTTGTTTTTTTTTGTTGGTTTGTGATCTTTTAAAGTTGTTTTCTCTATGGATTGTTGTTGAAGGTTTTTTTTTTTTCAATCTGTTTCCTGTTTCAACAGTGCTGGAAAGTACATGTATGTTAAAAATAACGAGGACCAGGGGCACATTATTAATTATATGCAATGTTCTTTCACTTAAAGCTTATAGAACGTAACTAGGTATCAATATTGTAGTGCTTTATAACAACAAGGTACCAATCTTGTAGATCTTAACTAGGTACCAATCTTGTAGAGATTAACTTAGCACCAATCAGATCAATTCTGACCCAATACAATACTTTATTTTTAAATTGTTTAGTTAGTGTTTAATATGTGTTATAGCCTATATTCAACCATTTTAATAGTCTTGATCGCTCCAGCCTTATATGTTTCCACTGACTACAGCAAACTTTCATGTGGAAAATAATGTTTTAGTCAAATAGAAAAACTTGATGACCTTTGACACTGTATGCAAAATTAGTGCTATTTTGTTCTTACTATACTATTCAAAAAAAGTAGGGGATATTTGATTTTTAAGTGTTATTAAAGTCACCTAATGAAACTGACGAAGAAACAAATGACAAAATGAAATGAAGTTCACATTCATCGATTTATTCCAAATGATCGTTAGACTAAGTAAGGCACAGACTGACCATTATAAGGGTAAAATGATACCCGGGGTCAAACAGCAAAGTTACCACAGCATTACAACCAAGTCAGTAACGGGTAAATCCTCCTCTGTTTGCCAAACAAGCATTGATCCGACGTGGCATACTCCTAATGAGACGTCTAAGGTCATTTTGGTCCAGATTGTCCCATTCCTGTTGCAATGCAGCAGCAAGTTCTTGGACATTGGCAGGACGTTGTTGACGTTGACGTAACCTCTGTCCAAGCATGTCCCAGACATGCTCGATGGGGGAGAGTCGGGACTCAGTGCTGGCCAAGGTAATGTGGTGATGTTCTGTTGTTGGAGGTAACCTGTAACGATCCTGGCCCTGTGACATCTTGCGTTGTCATCCTGAAAGATGAAACGGCGGCCATGACGTCGTGCGAACGGCACAACATGGACTGCCAAGATGTTGTCCCGGTAGTACTGGCCTGTAACACGCCCTGCAACAACATGTAAAGCCATTCTTCCAGCAACAGTGATGCCTCCCCACACCATAACAGAACCACCCCCAAATCGATCATGTCTGATGAAGTTAACGTCTTGGAAGCGCTCGTTTCGACGACGCCACACCCTCCTACGTCTGTCCAAAAAATCAACAGTGAACCTTGACTCATCTGAAAACATCACATTGCTCCAGCGTCGATTATCCCTGTGTTGACGATCCCTACACCAACGACGTCTTGCCTGAATGTGATGATCTCTCAAACAAGGGATCACGCGAGGACGTCGGGCGCGAAGGTGACCCCTATGCAGTCGATTCCGAAACGTCTGGCCACTCACTCTCACACCAGTGTCTGTTTGAAGACGAGCGCTGGTCTGATTTGCTGTGCTGACACGATTTCTCAAGGCCAAGGTGTGGATAAATCGATCCTGGGCTTGAGTTGTCGCCCTTGGTCGACCTGAGCGTGGTCTGTCCTGTACAGATTGTGTATCACGGTATCTGGACCATAGCCTGCTTATGACAGACTGAGAAACATTCATCGTCCGCGCCACAACCGCCTGTGTTGTGCCGATCTGTAGCATGCCAAGGGCACGTAACCTTTCATTTTGGGTAAGCCGACGCATATCAAAATTTGTTTTCTGTTCACTAAAACAATTAAACTGATGTTTCCACCCTGGAATTCAATGCCACAATGACTGTAACATTCAAAGTCAGAGTCGTGCAAATTTTGGGTTGGACCCCCATGATGATCCCAAGCATCACCTGCATTCCATGCGGTAGCTATTGGTGCGTTTGGGCGTCACATGTAACTGGAAATGTTTCTTCTGTTAGGTTCTATAGTGACTTTTTTCGTAGTCATTTGCATATTTTAGTATTATGCCCCCAAAATCAAATATCCCCTACTTTTTTTGAATAGTATAATATTTGTTGTTTGTAGTAGATTAGGAGACAATTTTGGCTGGAGTCATCAGAATACAATTTTAATATATTCATTACATGCCATTACATTGTAAATATTATGTTTATCATTTACCCATTTAACATGCCTTTTCTCCTCTTCAACTAACTTCTCACAATTTTGGGCAACTTCCAAATTAATTTATGTCTTTTGTGCTAAGAAAGATATTTGTGAAGAGTTTACTGTTGGAAAAAAAGTTCCAGGCAATATTTTATTATAACTTCAAATATGTTTACAAATGTCTTTTTTGGAGCCCAAGTGATTTTTTGTTTGACTATATTACTTTGTCATCCAGTACCAGTAGTTTGCATTTTTATGGTTGTCTAATATAGTTGAATAAAAAATTGATGAACATGTATATGCTACGCTATGTAAAATATGTACTGTAAACATAGTGATACAGAAGATTTGTTTATTATCTTCTCTTGTTGCCATGGTTATCTACTCCACATAACTAATTAAATGTATAGATTGTCAAATAAAGTCTCTATTGAGATCAATAAAAAGGTGTTTCTTTGTATTAAATTAAGAATTGACTTTGAGGTTTTCCTTGGTCATTTAAGCTGCTTATGTAATAATCCTTTAGTGGCAATTAGTGATTGGAAACAACAATTTTTGCTTGATAACCATAAGAGGATACTTATTGAAATATTGTGCCTGTGTATAATAAACCAGCCATTGTTGTTGAGTATAACTGTGTTAGCCCTATTTCCCTAAAGTCAATCAACCCCTCTTGTTCCTGGCTTGGCTCCATTTTTACCCTGGGGGGCTAGTATATAGGCCTTATGTTGTTCAGGGCGTCTGTATTCAAAGGCTTAAGACATTTAGCAGAGGTGATGAAGGCCCCAAAAAACTATTTCTTATATACTATTCAAAAAAAGTAGGGGATATTTGATTTTTAAGTGTTATTAAAGTCACCTAATGAAACTGACGAAGAAACAAATGACAAAATGAAATGAAGTTCACATTCATCGATTTATTCCAAATGATCGTTAGACTAAGTAAGGCACAGACTGACCATTATAAGGGTAAAATGATATCCGGGGTCAAACAGCAAAGTTACCACAGCATCACAACCAAGTCAGTAACGGGTAAATCCTCCTCTGTTTGCCAAACAAGCATTGATCCGACGTGGCATACTCCTAATGAGACGTCTAAGGTCATTTTGGTCCAGATTGTCCCATTCCTGTTGCAACGCAGCAGCAAGTTCTTGGACATTGGCAGGACGTTGTTGACGTTGACGTAACCTCTGTCCAAGCATGTCCCAGACATGCTCGATGGGGGAGAGGTCGGGACTCAGTGCTGGCCAAGGTAATGTGGTGATGTTCTGTTGTTGGAGGTAACCTGTAACGATCCTGGCCCTGTGACATCTTGCGTTGTCATCCTGGAAGATGAAACGGCGGCCATGACGTCGTGCGAACGGCACAACATGGACTGCCAAGATGTTGTCCCGGTAGTACTGGCCTGTAACACGCCCTGCAACAACATGTAAAGCCGTTCTTCCAGCAACAGTGATGCCTCCCCACACCATAACAGAACCACCCCCAAATCGATCATGTCTGATGACGTTAACGTCTTGGAAGCGCTCGTTTCGACGACGCCACACCCTCCTACGTCTGTCCAAAAAATCAACAGTGAACCTTGACTCATCTGAAAACATCACATTGCTCCAGCGTCGATTATCTTAGTGTTGACGATCCCTACACCAACGACGTCTTGCCTGAATGTGATGATCTCTCAAACAAGGGATCACGCGAGGACGTCGGGCGCGAAGGTGACCACTATGCAGTCGATTCCGAATCGTCTGGCCACTCACTCTCACACCAGTGTCTGTTTGAAGACGAGCGCTGATCTGATTTGCTGTGATGAGACGATTTCTCAAGGCCAAGGTACGGATAAATCGATCCTGGGCTTGAGTTGTCGCCCTTGGTCGACCTGAGCGTGGTCTGTCCTGTACAGATTGTGTATCACGGTATCTGGACCATAGCCTGCTTATGACAGACTGAGAAACATTCATCGTCCGCGCCACAACCGCCTGTGTTGTGCCGATCTGTAGCATGCCAAGGGCACGTAACCTTTCATTTTGGGTAAGCCGACGCATATCAAAATTTGTTTTCTGGTCACTAAAACAATTAAACTGATGTTTCCACCCTGGAATTCAATGCCACAATGACTGTAACATTCAAAGTCAGAGTCGTGCAAATCTTGGGTTGGACCCCCATGATGATCCCAAGCATCACCTGCATTCCATGCGGTAGCTATTGGTGCGTTTGGGCGTCACATGTAACTGGAAATGTTTCTTCTGTTAGGTTCTATAGTGACTTTTTTCGTAGTCATTTGCATATTTTAGTATTATGCCCCCAAAATCAAATATCCCCTACTTTTTTTGAATAGTATATATCAGCAGGAACCCACAGAAAATTTTGCAGTTTTGAGCACATTTTGTTCTATTGACAACTCACATTTTGCAACTTCGTCATGTGTGACGAATATGTTTTTGTTAGTTTAAAAATTGTCCCGGTGACACAGAGTAAGGGTCGCCTGTCTAAACTGTAGGCTTTCTTCGGCTCCTCCCACTACTGAAGACCCATACACGCAAGTGAACTATTGAAAGAAAGAGAGAGAGAAATGGGGGTTTAACGTCCACTCGACACAAACTAGGTCATTTCGGGACTAACATATGGTTAATTTTATTTCAATAATTCGCTGGCGCATAGGGGTCTTTAGCAGTGGGAGGACCCGGAGAAAACCCTGGACAGGCGACCCTACTCCTTGTCACGTACAACCGGGGATTCGAAACCACACCAGCTGACTCAATGACAGGTCTTATGATACAGCGCGCACGTGCTAACCATTCGGCCATCCAGCCCCCCTATTGAAATATAATTGAACCCTAGTTTGTGTCGAGTGGACATTAAACCCCATTCTCTCTCTCATTAGGTGAATGAGTAGTATGTTTTTTATTTTGTGACACATTAATTTCTAGTGTTCCAATATCATAATGGCTTTTAATTTGAAAGAAAGAGAGGGAAATGGGGTTTAACGTCCACTCGACACAAACTAGGTCATTTCGGGACTAACACATGGTTCAATTTTATTTCAATAATTCGCTTGCGCATAGGGGTCTTTAGCAGTGGGAAGACCTGGTGAAAACCCACAAGGTTGGACAGGCGACCCTTACTCTTTGTCACAAAAAAACGGGGAATCAAAACCTTATGATACAGTGCGAACGTGCTAACCATTCAGCCAACCAACCCCCTAATTTGAAAGAAATCACACGGATGATGCACAATTTTTTTTATTATAACAAAAAAAAATCTTTATATCTATGTCAATATCTCTGACTTCCTAAAATACATATATACATAGCAGACTATACACTAATGCTCATGACAAACTGCTAGGTAATCCTTGAAATTTGCCCTTATATGGTCAATGAAAATGATTTACAATAGAATGTGATATTTTACAATAAAAATATAAATACATACACATAATAATAAATAAACACATGATTCAATTTAATATTTTCAATTCACATGACTAAAACGTTTCAATATGATACAATTTCAAAATGTTCTTCACAGTTTAAAAGCTGACTGAAGAACAAGACTTGTTTCATATAAAGTCTTATATATAGCCACTATATAATATATACTTAAAACAGCGTAGTACTTAATTAACAATAGTAATAACTGTTAGCTCCTATATAAATGGTAACATCTATGAGATTGTAACACTTTCTTGAATCAGAAAATTTGTCTGGGTTCATCTGTACCAGTGACAGTAACTTTACACCTTCAAGATATCATTCAACAAAAAATATTGGAGAGTATTCCAACCATACAATCCAGATCTGTGGTTAGTTACATGAAAGAAGCATTTTTACAAATTACGTATGTATACTCAATTAGAGGTAATTATTATATATTGCACAAAATTTTAATCATGGAATTCATTTTAAAAATATTTACAAAAAATATGAATATATGGCACCATAAAACATAGACATCAGTTCTTTTAGCAAGTAAACAGTATCATGTCTGCATCATATTTTTTAACGTGTTTCAGGTTCGTTTTCAAATAATCAGTGGGAAAAATAGTAAACATTAAAAGTGAATGAAAAAGTCCAGATAAATAATTATGGAGAAAGGAAAGCGATTTAATGTTTCGTCAACACATAACATATAAAGAGGGAGGGGTAACTTACAAAGATAAGATATATTGTTAATTCCTCCCACTGGGAGTCGTCTACTTTTTATAATAAATTGCAAGGCAACAAAACATAGTATCATGATTGACGTCATCTGAGAACTCCATTCGTCCAGAGGAGCTAAGTCATCCGATCAGTCCACATTGGTTCTCACATATTTAGTCTTTTGCATGTAATGGGAACATTTACAAGACACTAGAGATAGGTTACCAAGTAGTGGTCTGAACAGTCCACAAGGCAAAATCTTTAGACTCTATAACATCACATCTGAAATTCAAAAAGCTTCCTCATTTCACAAATATGAAATATGCACTAAATTGCATACAGATCTGACGATAAATTTTGTCATTAGAGGGCCCACAAGATTATACAAAGTGAAACAAGGGCCATAACTCTACAAGTAATTAACAGAAATTGGTGTAATAGGTTTCTGCGTTTCAAATAATGCATATGAATTTCATATATATCAGATAATAACTTTAATCATTAGCGCATTCGTAAGGTTCTACAAAGAGAGGTAAACTGTAGAAGTAATAAATGGGTATTGTTGAAATTTCAATAAGATTCACTAATTAAGCTAATGCAGATGACTTGCATACAAATTGGATGATAAATCTTGTCACAAGTTTTTACAAAGTAATGCAGGAGTCATTAAACTAGAAGTAATTAAAATGCATAATGCACATAAATTTCATACAAATCAGATGATAACTTTTGTTGTTAGAATATTCAGAATGCTGTACAAACAAAACCCATGAAGTATCTATCAGAAATAATTAAAATTTAATTATACAAAATCAGATGATGACTTTAGCTGTTCCTGTCTGACATTGTTCTTAATCATTAGACTTACATGTACACACTGTGTTTAAATTTCAAGTGAATATGATTATAATAATTTAAGCCTCCAGATTCTTCAAATTGATCAAGGGCGATAACTCTGTAAGTAGTTATCAGAAAATGTCTATCAGATAAAACACAAGCCTCTACAGCCCTGTAGATAATGAACAGATCAGGGTAATGACAATATACTCATTGTATATGTGGGTGCATAATAATTCCAGTTGACAAGATTCAGACTTCAAATTAACATCTCTGATAACTAGAAGTATTGTTTAAATAAAAGTCATATAGTGTTTACACTGATATATGTGTAATTTTTTTATTTCTTGTAATTCCTCTCCAGTCTTGTCACAAACATTGTTATTAATTTAAATTCACAATTTTCACTATATTTTGTAGAATGACGATCCACATACTCCTTTAACAGTAAAAAATACAGAGTTGAAATTAATTTATTGTTAACAAGAACTGCTTTTAAAACCTCCCAACTCAGCAGACGTTATTTTGGGTCGATTGGATCCAAGGATTCCATTACGTTGTGTTGTAGTATAACGTTCTTTCAATTCATTTAATGCTTGTAATAACTTAGCATTGGCCGCGTCTACAGTTGTTATTCTTCGCTCCTGTGCCTCAATGACAGCTTGTTTTTCACTGACCACTCGTTGCATCTCAACTTGTTCCTTCTTTAACTCGTCTTCGATTAAAACCAATCTGATAAAAAAAATCAAACGGTAAGTTGCCAGGCAATACAACATACACTCACAGCAGCCTAGTCATCCGAGTACTCTACAAGGGTTGTCACATATTTATTGTTTTAAAAGACACTAAATACTGATCAAGTGTAACAACCCCCATGAAATAATTATCACAAATATTTAAAATTTGATTGACGTTTAGTTCTTCAAGCTTCTTACATGTATTATACAAAACATGTACCAGTAACAAACACCAATTTAGCTGTTCCAGTTATTGGAGAGTAATAGAAACAGAAATGTGGTTTAACATCCACTTGACACAAACTAGGTCATTTCGGGACTAACATTTTATTTCAATAATTCGCTTGCGCATAGGGGTCTCTAGCAGTGGGAGGAAACCAGAGGACCCGGAGAAAACCCACGAGGTTGAACTGGCAACCTTTCTCCTTGTCACGTACAACCACGGAATCGACACCACGCCAGTTGACAAAGTGACAGACCTTATGATACAAAAAGTTGCTTTACAAATTGCCCCCCTAAATATTGAACAACACTGCATTACTCACAGAAATAGATATATTTATATCACATTAATAATTGTGTCGCATTTGTGACAACGCCAATTTTGGCAAAATTTTGAACATTTTCCAAAACTACATAGCATTATGTCACAAAAATACCTACACAAGCCTTGCGCTACCTTTGTCTCACACAGCACCCACTGACCTCCACAAATGCCTATGCTGGGTGGCACAAAGGGTTACGGAGTATAGTGACACACTCAAATCGTTGAGTTTACATCCATGCCAATGTGCAGATGGATGTACTTTATTTTTATGCCCCAGCCAAACAACACTTGTTAGTGACGTGGGCACTAACTCTGACAAATGATGACCAGTTTGAAATTCATCAAGGTTTTTCTCAATGTAATCTAGAGGTTAGTGCCTTGACTGTTGGAATACCAAATTGCTCCACTTTAAAGAACGGGTTTACGTACCTGTGTATAATAGACTTCATCTGGTCATCTTTCTCTGCCTGTTGTAATCTCATCCTTTCCTCACTCTCTTGTAACCTTTGTTGCCATTCTCTTGCTACCTGATGGGTTGTCTCTTCATGTTCTGATAAACGAGCTTCTGCTTGTTCCAATACAATCTGGGCGTCAGCCAACTGTTGTCGTAAAACATGCACCTGTTGTTCGTACTGAAATATACATGTCAAAATATTTTAACACTTAGCAAATTCAGAGAGAGAGAGAGAGAGAGAGAGAGAGAGAGAGAGAGATGGTGCATACAGTAGTGGTTGTGATTACTTTATATGTTATGGACAGCTTGTAAATAACATCTAATACACTAAACAGGTTGTCAGCTTTCATGTCCTAATGGAAAAAGAGATTGTGACATGGATTGTTAAAGTGACAAGAGATTGTTGAACAACCAAAAAATACTTCACTTTATTCATTACAGGATGAACCACAGAAATACTAGATGTATCCATAGTCAGTAGTGAACATACACATTTTGTATAAGAATTAACATTATTAAAGGAGCTAAACCTTGCACTCAATATTTTCCCTAATATTTGAAATTAAAAGAATGAATCCGAATTCAGTATTGGTCCATTTCAATCAATGTTGATGTTGTTATCTTACTGTGAAGATATGAGATGCTAATATCCAATATTTAAAGGGGGACTTTTGTCAACTTAGCAACCAAAAGCAACTAATTTTAGTCAGTTGCCACTGTACATATGTCGATCATATCAGCAACTGAAAGCAACTGAATTCGGAGCGCTCATGACAACTCGGAACTTATAGCGATTACACTTCACACACGACTGTTAATTTATTATATTAATCACGTGATCAACAAAACGGCGAATACCTTAGATACAATGAATATAAGCAATGATTAGTTATTGTTTACCTCAATCTTAGTCTTTTCTTGTTCTTGTAATTTACGTTGAACCGAACTTATACCCATGTGAACTGAACTCAAGGGAGATAACCTTCTAGATGAACCACTGCTTGACAAGTTATCTTCCCCACTATGACATAATGATCCTGAACTTCCAGATCGTAGACGATTTGATTGGTTGTTTGCCTGTGTGATCAATGTGTCTGTCGAGGCACGACGTAAAGTATCCGAATAATTATGTTTTGACAAATAGCCAAAATCCATACTGTGTGACAGATGGTATGGTCGTGATCGGCCTTCAGAATGGTCGTGAGGCAGAGTGTCACGATGTCTCGACAATACACGGTCCATGCGTGGTGTGCTGTGCGAATGAGCAGGACTCGATCCTGTTTGCATCATTGAAAATTTGACTGAACTGCTAGAGGAGGAACACGATCTGCTGTTGCCGTAAACTGGCTGTTCTGTTAACGACTCACAACTAGAGGAACTTGATGATAACTGAGACAATTGGTGGAGAGGATTCTGGGATTTACCACAGTCGTTTTTAACGATTGGGTTTGGTTGTCTGACAGAGCTCGTTTCATCAGCACTATTTATTGAACTGTCACTTGATGCTTGATATGTGGATGATGATGGAGTTAGTGTGCGGCGACATGAAGATGACGAATTGCTGGTCAGCTGATGTGAGTACAGAGGATTAGAGAATTGAAGCGGATACGTGTAGCCCAGAGCTGGTGGTGACTTAGATGTTTCATGTGCTGTTCTATCCTCTTGCCCATTAGAGTCTATCGGGGAATTTGACTGGCTATAACTAAATGACTGATAACCAGAGGAAGCTATGGTTGAGAGTTGACCAATAGAAACTTGGCTTCCATGGGTGTTATGGTCCATTTCCATGGAGGAATTCTGAGCATCCTCATCCATAAAAGGAATTAAGTCTAAATATTCTCCTCCATTATTAACACTATCGGCCACACTGACCATTTGATTCCAAGACTGATTTACAAGATCTTCATCAATTTTCCTTGATCGTGCAGACACGTTCGACACCTCACTAGATCTCGGAGTGTAGGTTGCAGAACGAGAGTCAAATCTACTGGAAAGTTTCACAGGCTTAGCACTATAATCACGAGATTCTTTTAAGACGTCATTTTGTGACGATTGTCTGTTCAGCTGTTGAATGATAGGAAGGTCTTCTCCACACTGCTCTAACAAATCCCGTAAAGCTTTTGTGGGTGATGTAGCATTGTGGGAACTTGGTACATTGACTAGATTATCGTAGACTTGACTTTTACGATTATGTTTCATCGTTCGACCAATCGTAGGATCATCTATCGCAGCACTGATCTGAGATAAAATGGATTTTAACTTTGACAATTTTTTCACTGATTCCTGGAAATATAAAAGTATTATAATTGTTAAAAACTTGAATGTTTTCAATCAGGATTATCCAGGGATATAAACAGGTTTAAATAAAAGTGACAATCGTTATTTCATTCGGTTATATGTATAAATTTTAACAAAGAAGCATTTTCTACATTTTTGTCTTGACATAAATAAAGTTAAGTTATAAAGTCATGCTAACATTGATAATTTTGCTAATGCTAGGGTCAAATAATTTTGCTGGGACGGTGTTTTTCTTCCAACACTTCATCAAATACGAACTTCCAAGGGTTGTTTTAAGTGTTAACATGTATACCCCAGGTAGACCTCTATTTTAAATCACATACTGGTGAGGATCTTTTAATTTGTATGAACTAATAGGTGTCATCACACTATAAAAGGAAACATTAAATTTTTACCTCTGAAGCCTTGTCTAAGTTTTCTTGTAACATTGAATGTAAAATAGAGATTTCTCTCCCCATGTCTATAAATCCATCAAATTCTAAAAACTGATTTCCTCCATCTAAACTCTACAAAAAACAAATAAACATTTAAACAAACATTCTGACAGAGTTGAAAATCCATGTCACTGAAATCTTACTTCTATTTCATTTCAATACTATGAATTTCTATAATGTTCTTATGACATCCCGCAGTTTGCAGATTTCATCTCCTTATGAATTTTGGAGAAAATATGCTATGGTGTCAGAAAGTCAGATATTTTTTTAAAGTAACGGTGCATGATTTGCATATTTCGCAAACTATCAAATATCACACACCTTATTCCATGGTTATATATGCACTGAGATTGATTATTTAACATTTAATCAAAAAAACAAAATCACATTATCAAAAGCCAGTCCATTATGTAGATTTAGGAAAAAATAAAGATGGCAGTGGCCTTGTTATTATTTCATAACAATAAAAACTCTTGTATCTGGCAATCAACCTGCAGCAAATTGCAAAATTGTGGAAAGATGTTATTGACACATTTATATAGGTGGTAGCACTGATCAATAGAAAATCACAGCATTGAACCCTTTTGGGACTGATATTTCTATTAGAGATTCAACTTTTACAATATTTTGTATAGGATTCCTAAATCATTCAAATCATGTCCACAGACTTTAAATTCAACTTACTGATATTTGTTTGAGGAAGGTTTTCATACTATTTGATTCTCTTTCCACGAAACCATTTAGAAATGTCATATATTCTTCTTTACCACCACCAAATCTAGAAATCAAACAAACATTTATATAACAAGCCAACAGTAAGGGTGATATATCACCAGTATTAATTTCAAAATAACTAGGTGACATTCATTAATTATTTACACATTTGTGTTTTTATAAAGCATCTAGCAATCAAATTACCTACCACCCTTCTTAACTTAGATAGAGAATGATTTTTACCAAAATTAGACGTGGTATTGAATCACACAAGGTATCATTACTTATCCCAGTTAGCCTCAGCAGATGAGAGGGCGAAATGGTGTTTAATATCCATGTGACACAAACTAGATCATTTCTGGACTAACAAATAAATGGTTCAATTTTATTTCAATAATTCACTTGTGCATAGAGGTCTTTAGCTGTGAGAGGAAACCGGAGCACCTGGAGAAAACACATGAGGTTGGACAGGCTACCCTACTACTTGTCACGCTAACCACTTCAATGGCAAACCTTATCATCTAATATGCACACGTTAACCCCCACACATTAGCAGAAAATGATAATCATCAAATATAGTCAAGACATTCACTTAATGAACATCTATACCAAGTTTGGACATTCTACATCAAATAGAAGCCTTTTGTTCCAAAATGTATAAAAATGAAAACCTACTTTGTAAAGTTAGCAAGCGTTTGAATAGTTTTAGCTATCAACGTTAAATTTCTTGCCGCTCTTTCTTGTGGATATTCTGAATTAATAAAGATGAAAACATTTTACAAAGAAGAAAAACTGTAAATGAAAACAGCACAAGCATAGATGAATAAATGATTAACAAATATAAAACCTATTAATTTACAGTCATCTTCAGTCCGATATGGTTGTATACAAAAGGTGGGTTTATTTTATTGAGACTAACAACTGTTAAATGTTTATTTCCATGGCTACATCATTTTCAGTGTTGGGTGGCAGGAAGGAATTAAGTTGGATGCTGCAGGCTAACCTTATTTATTTTTCATCTACTAAAGGAACGTCTACATTCTTTGCTAATATAATAACTAAATATATTTCCTGTCAACCCTCTTATACAAATATACAACCATTGCAGCAAGCTTAAACATACATTATGCAAGAGCTAAATCTGCCTATTGCCGGTCTTTTTTTAGGCCTGAAATGTTATATCAACTATTAATTAGACATTTATCATGAAAAGACCTTATCAATTCTCGATGCCATCTTACACGGTAACCCAGGTATAATTTAATCTTGTGTATTTAGCATTAATTTCTTTCACATTCTTTCAATATCAAATCTTTGTTTGAAATTTCGTAAAAATCATTTAAAATTATCTAATTTGTACTGGTGTCAAGTTTGAAGCTGACCATTCAGTTTTGATAATGAGTGTCCAATTTACAAGCATTTAATTTCCTGGCCACTGTTCAAAAATGAATCATTATACACCAAAAAACATTTGGTTGTGTATTTTTAAACAGTGATCGAGAAATTAAATGCTTGTAAATTGGACACTCATTATGAAAACTGGATGGTCAGCTTTAAACTTGACGCAAAAACAAATTAGATGATTTTAAATGATTTTTACAAAATTTTCAAACAAAGATTTGATACTGAATGAAAGTGAAAGAAATTAAAGCTAAATACAAAAGATTAAATGATACGCGAGTTACATTATGTGTTGGATTTTCATTGGTTTTGAATCCGATCTGCTGCTCAATGCTCATTGATGATTAAATGCAAATATGGATAATCAAAACTATGTTTTTTTTTATCATACTAACTTTAGTAATGATGATCGAGGCTAGGCCTAAAATTCAATTGCTAATATCTTGGTTCAGAGTGGAGTAATTTGACTGAAATTTTCAGTATATTCCCTTTACATTATCTAGTTTTTAACTATTATAGTGAGAACTGCCAGCTCTTTATCTAATCTCTCATAATGCCCCTTTAATGTGATAAACTGAACATACCTTGTGTTAAATTAAATAGACTAGGTGATAAAATTGCTGGACACAGAAATCGTAAAAATATCGAAGCACTAATTAAATTATCACTGATATCTTCTTTACCATGATCTATACATCTCTCACGGAAACTAGAAAATACCTCTCTTAATTCACTGAAATATATTACAAGATAATTTATACAACAATATATTCAAAATATGAGAGTTATATCCATATTTATATATTGAAAACCTTTAATTTGATAATGGCTCTTGATATTGTTTTTCATGAATGAAAACTATTGATTTCATCATGTAAAATTTGGGTAGAAGATGGTCAATTCTCCATACAAGTTGCAAAACTTTCAAAACATTCAAGTATTTAATTGGAATTACTAAACAGCAAAAATATGAAGATTTAAATAGTTTTAAAAGTTTACATGTGTTAAACATTAGATATATTTACCTGGGAAAGTAACAGTAAGAATTCATAATTTTTGCCCATGCCATTTGACAATACATTTCAAGATTTTTCTGATGACATTGCAATGTAGCTATGTTACTGACTTTAGTTGGATCGACCTCACAATCATCGTGACATTCAATCAGGTTTCTCACATAATCTCCAATTGTATCATGAAGGAACTGAAATAATATAATTAACACAATATAGTTTCCACTACTAATATAACTGTTAGATAGTTTAAAGAGCAGGTTGGACATAAGGTGTTATCGTTATTTAAGAAGAAGCTATCAAATACAAGCCTAACCTGTCTATTGTCTTTCATTTATATGAGAAGTCCACACACCTACCAATATTTTGTAAGAAAAAAATATGGCTTTTACCTTTTCTCCGACTAGTTTCATGTAAGCTTCCATTGCTTTAGTAGCTAGGCTGTTACCTCGGAATGTTAAATGTTCGTTATCTGAAATGTATAAAATATACAATATTAATCGATCCACTGATTACACACTATCATTTGGAGATAGAGAGAGTGAGAATTGGGATTTTACCTCCACTCGACACAAACTAGGTCATTTTGGGACTAACACATGGTTCAATTTTATTTCAATAATTCGCTTGCACGTAGGGGTCTTTAGCAGTGGGAATAACTGAAGGACCTGGAGAAAACCCACGAGGTTGGAAAGACGACCCTACTCCTTGTCACGTACAACTGTGAATCGAAACCACGCTAGTTGACTCAATGACAGACTTTATGATACAGCGTGCACATGCTAACCAATCATCCATTCAACCCCCCAGCTGAGACAGAGAATAGAAAATTATACTTTTATTATAAGATATTAAATCCATCTGTAAGTTTAACATTACGTAATCAATGCCTAACAAGTCATCTTATTAAGTTAATAAATGGCTGTAACTTAGATACTGGTACTACTTTTACCAAATATTTAACATATTCTATAGGCAAGACTAGGCCAAAGGCACCTGTCACACACTTTCACTTTGTCAGACACAACGGGCATAACAGTCCAACATTTTGGTCATAAAGGCCAAACAAGATTCAAAATGGTTTACGTAATACTTGTATTCATTATCAATCCAAAGCTATTTATTTACATACATGTAGCAATGAGTACTACAAATACATTATATATTTACCTAATCTGTATATTTCTGTCATGACAACATCAGATAAGAATTGTTGAGCTAGACCTAATTTCTGCATGATATGTATCAACGTGGTTGCTATGTCTTCCTTGTCACGGACATTAACGATTGGTTCTAAACCTTCACATAATTTACAATAATCAGACTGTAAAAACTGAAATATAAATCATACTTATTATTGAATACTTCCAGCAAAAACATTCTCAAAATGTGTTTCAAATAGATAATAAGTTTATAAGTTCACTTTAATGCATAAATATAGTGGTGGCATGAAATCAACATAAAGTAATGTTATGTACATTTAAAATATAAGTTGTCAGGCAACAAATCAAACACCTATAAATGAGAGGTGGTAAAAGGCATTCTAAAACGAGACTAACATACGTTTATATCTTCTAGGAAAACCAAATAAAAATAAAGAGAGAGAGGAACCCAAAACCATTTGAATAACATAATTTGTGGTTGCGTTTTCTGAGGAAACATACGGAACGTTAAATGCTATAAAAGATGATTTTGTGATACTTATGACTTTGTTTTTATATCTTCTAGGGACATGTGTGCAATGGCATTTGCAGCATTCTTTCATCGAATCGAGGGTTCATTTTTATGTTTTATGTGTAGGATAGACTTCTTTTTTTGTCCCATCTGAATGACTAGTCAACATTTTCTCTGTCAACCATGGTGGTGTTACAATGTGAAAACCAGCATTGAAGTACTTACGTTGATAAAATCTGAGTAGAGGTCCAGTGGTAATATGTGAACTGTCTGATATCTGGCTTTTAATCGTATAATTGGTAAATCGGTCTTTGTATCTTTACCCGCTTTACCTACTGTTCCTGACATCGCTGTATACCTAAATATATCAAAACAAACCCTATTATATTAGCAAATCCTTTAGTGGCATTTATCGATAGGGAAGATTACAAAATTAGAAACAATTATATGGGAATAAATTATTGGTCTTTTAAACAGTAAACTATTCTACAACTCACGACAACCAGTAGACAGTAACAGTAAAGTTGACAGGAGGACCTTAATAAAGGTGTGCCTACTCTCCAAAAAATGTTAAATATTTTCCTGACACCACATAATCAGGACTAACATAGTGGTACAGAGAGGTGACCCTACTCCATGTAACATTGTTGGATGAAACCCTCTATGCATAATAATGATAGATCTTAGATCTGAACTGCATGCTTTAGATAATTCATTTCCTAGGTTCCCATGAAGAATAATTTATTTATTAAAACTCACCATTTTTCCACATATTGTCTGTTACCTATTTCAGCTATAGGAATATTAATATAACCTGAAATCACAATATGTTTTATTCAATAAACCCCAATAACATATTATTCATTTATTCAATAATATATTATTCATTTATTCAATAATATCTTGTCAACATAATACATCACCATTTTGGGATTACTATGGTCATATTACTGTTTCTTTAGGATATATGGGTGTCCCATTACTAATGAGATATGGGTGAACTGTTTGTTACTATTATGGATGAACTGTCTCATTTTTGATAAGAAATGAAATGAAATGGGGTTTAAAGTCCTACTGTTTTGCTCCTAAACTGGGCTAATAAAGACGGGAGGGAAATTTTGCCCGGGCAGCGGCGCTACGGCCTACACTTATATCGAATTCCAACTGCCAAGGGATCTTTTATGTGCACGCCAATTTGTACACAGGACCTCGGTTTTTCGTCCCATCCGAACGACTAGACAGCTGTCCTTGTCAGGCCCTCCACCTTGCATCACTGACAGAAGGAAACCACGCCGGAAAATCTGAATGAACTTTCTCGGCCAATGCTGGGATCGAACACCCGACCTCCATGCTAGTGAGCCAGCGTCTTACCCACTTAGCCACGTGATCCCCCATTTTTGATAAGATACATGTAATGGGTGAATTATCTCATTACTAGCAAGATATATGGGTGAATTTTCCCATTACAAACACGATACATGGATTGATTGTCCCCAGAAGGTTTGGAAAAATGGAATGCCGCAGATGTATGAAATGAATATTTTGAAATGAATAATGATTAAAGCTCACTTGAAGAAAATATTTGTTTTGAAAGCTATAAATACAGATTTTGTTAAAATTGCAAATGGTATTAGGCATCAAATGGTGAAAATTGAATAATAATTGACACTTTCCAATTCTGTATAAGATGAAGGTGGTCCCACACAAAGTCAAATCTTGACAAGATCATGCACAAATCTAGAGTAGCAGTAGCAGATGTTTTTTAGGTGATAATCCAAGATCCCTTATAAATTAGTAAATAAATATTGCAAAGCTTTTCACAGTTACGGAAACTGGATAACTACATCATCAATAGTCTGACAGTATATCTTACATTAGACAAATGGCCTCTGTTTTCGTTTGTTAGTCATTGATAACTTCACGTCTTTGACACAACCTTCCATTTCCTGACAGACATGTAACCGATTTTAGAATGGCGAAGGGAAGATCTATTCTACAATTAAATTACCTACCTAATAAGGTATTTTTATCTTTTTTCTTCTTTCTGTCTGCTTCCCGGAATAAATTAACAGTTATCACATCAACAGGTGGTAGATTACTATAATATACAATCATAAACTTTATCATAAACAGCAAATATTTTATGACATGGTAATTCTTTTAGTTGTAATTATGGTTCATATAAAAACAAAACCCTATCTGGAATACTTTTCAAAATTAACAAGACAAGGTACAAAATATTTCTTCCACAAGACAATTAACTAATTATCACAAACTGATCATCCGATGTGTGGGACAGAAACCAACTGTTACAAATCTTCCTGTATTTATGTTAAAGACACCTGATATATTTAAAGGTTTTCGATGAGTTGGTCGAATGCTAATAAAATAGTTTTTAATCTGATGTGATCTGAATATGCCACTTTAAATATCAGATTATGGAAAATGTCAATTTCCAATCAGTGTGTCTTGGTAAATAGTTTATTATTACTTACCTAAATTCAAAATGTTCTCCCCAAAATAACATCTCAGATTTCATCTTGGTTGATGTTCTCGCATATAATGTTTTATCTAAATATATTTCACAGAAATACCTGAAAAAAAAAACAACACAGAAATTATTCATATGTGTCTCAAATGTAAACCTGCGGTTGCCAGGCAAGATACTACCACATTTTGCAAGAGATGGATAGAGAATGAGCTAAAAAAAATCAAAAGCGATTTTTCATAATCCAGAAAGTTATGGTCTGAAATGCGCTAATATCGAAAGGGACTGAGATCTTTGGGATAAAAAGATACATTTTAAGTTTCATCAAAATCAGATAAAAATTGTGCCCTCTAGAGGGTTCACAACTTTCATATTACATACTTTTACACAATTTGCATACAAAGAGCGACCATTTAGTCAGGGAGTTTCGTTTTGATTTTCTCGAAAATTCGAATTCAACCGTCATTATGGTGGAATGGTGATATATTTAAACAGTTTTTAAAATCGGATAAAAATTGTGACTTCTAGAGAATCCACAAGCTAAAAAACACGATTTTCGTATAGTCAGGGGCCATAATCCAGAAAGTTACGGTCTGATATGCGCAAATATCGAAAGGAACCAAGATCTTTGGGTTATAAACATACATTTCAAGTTTCATCAAGACCAGATTGTGACTTGTAGAGGGTCCACATGAAAATGTGGGACGCATAAAAATATCCGTGACAGGAAACTGGAGGACCCAGAGAAAACCCATGAGGTTGGACAGGTGACACTATTTCTTGTCACGTACAAGTGACGAACCGAAAACCACACTACTTAAATCTATGACAGATCTTATGTTCTAAAGCACACACATAAACCATTTGGCCATTAAACCCCTGAATGACTAGCTTGAGTAATCCCTGTTAGAAGAATAAATAAAAACTTGTTATTATGTTTTGTTTTTTACTTTGATGTTGTAAGAATTATTTACTGAGTAAAGCCGGGACCCGTACATCTGAGTGTTGTTTGATGTAGTCGTTAAATAAATTCTAGATTACTTGTCTTGTTTCTCACTGTAGTTATAAGCTAATAAACTTCAAATATTTTCTTTGAAATTTATTTGTAAAAACATTATCACATTTAGTGTATTTTTTTTTATAAACTTATGTGTGAACTTGTGATATAAATGAGATGTGTTGTTACTTAGATATGTGTTATTTTGCCTGGACAGCAGCATTACCTCCTACTTTTCATGTATTCCAACTGCTGAGGGTTCATTTTACATGTACATTAATAGAACGTGTACATGGGTGGACCTTAGTTTTTGGCGCAAGAAGCCAGCTTGAAACATTACAAAATAAAAATACAATTATTTAGTAGCTTTAGTACATTCTTCATATAAGAAGTTGTGTCGTGTGTAATAGATGGAACTACTTAAAGCTCTATGGAGGAATATTTTACATTTGGATTATAGAATCTTCTTATAAAATTTAAAACCCTAACAATAACGGTTAAATACAGAGTTTTAGATAATACACAGTCAAAAGTACTCGGACTAAAATAAGATTATTTAATTAAACCGATTAATTCTCACTTTTGACCCCTATTTTTTTATTACTATACACATAGGCCATTTACTTGGCTTTCTACTAAATTTCACATAAATGGTTACTCCTAAAGGTATTTTCCTTCAATGTGCCTACACTTATTATTCATGTAGCACATAGCTGATCATGACTCACTCCAGTATTAGTATTATAAGGGAAATAATTTTCTTATCATTAGTTCGTTTTTCATTTTGAGTTAAGTCTGTATCACTATAGGCCCGGGACTATACAGAACAGTGGATGCTTACGGCTAGCCCCCAGATCCATTCACTTGATCTGATGTGTACATTTGTTGTTTGTGATGTCTGTATATTGTGTCTTGTCTGTAGATTTGTATATTTGTTTGTCTGTGGTGCAGTCCCCCTGCACTTACTACTAGGTTACAACCATTTTAAGTTTACATTGGTTTCAGTTGATTTTGTTCTTTCCACTGCCATCATTTTCTCTCTTAGACAAATAAAATATAGTAATAATAATTGTGCTATCTTTTTCGTACCCCCTTTAGGTTTTTACCCAGATGTGCTAAATTACATAATAACAACAGGATTTACATTAAAATAGTATATTTTTTTATATTTTTGAAGTATATCTGAACAATCTAGCTTTAACAGCTACATTCAATATATCATTTCATGTCTTTAGTATCAATATAATAATATATATCAATGTAGGCGATATCATTTTGAGATATATGTAACTATTTTTTTATTTAACTCACCGTTTTTTAGAAGATACATTTTTAGCTTCCACCAACCAGAGTTTTAAAGAATTATCTGTACGCCGACAATGTTCCTGATTTGGTTTCACCGTTTTTCGTAAACTGAAATGAAGATACAAATAAACAAATTTTAAATTATGTTACAAATCGCATCTGCGTGTATATATTAGCTATAATGCAGTCCACATGAGCATAGTTCCAATTAAATTGTTGAAAACTGGGTCAATTATACTATTCAAAAAAAGTAGGGGATATTTGATTTTTAAGTGTTATTAAAGTCACCTAATGAAACTGACGAAGAAACAAATGACAAAATGAAATGAAGTTCCCATTCATCGATTTATTCCAAATGATCGTTAGACTAAGTAAGGCACAGACTGACCATTATAAGGGTAAAATGATACCCGGGGTCAAACAGCAAAGTTACCACAGCATCACAACCAAGTCAGTAACGGGTAAATCCTCCTATGTTTGCCAAACAAGCATTGATCCGACGTGGCATACTCCTAATGAGACGTCTAAGGTCATTTTGGTCCAGATTGTCCCATTCCTGTTGCAACGCAGCAGCAAGTTCTTGGACATTGGCAGGACGTTGTTGACGTTGACGTAACCTCTGTCCAAGCATGTCCCAGACATGCTCGATGGGGGAGAGGTCGGGACTCAGTGCTGGCCAAGGTAATGTGGTGATGTTCTGTTGTTGGAGGTAACCTGTAACGATCCTGGCCCTGTGACATCTTGCGTTGTCATCCTGGAAGATGAAACGGCGGCCATGACGTCGTGCGAACGGCACAACATGGACTGCCAAGATGTTGTCCCGGTAGTACTGGCCTGTAACACGCCCTGCAACAACATGTAAAGCCGTTCTTCCAGCAACTGTGATGCCTCCCCACACCATAACAGAACCACCCCCAAATCGATCATGTCTGATGACGTTAACGTCTTGGAAGCGCTCGTTTTGACGACGCCACACCCTCCTACGTCTGTCCAAAAAATCAACAGTGAACCTTGACTCATCTGAAAACATCACATTGCTCCAGCGTCGATTATCCCAGTGTTGACGATCCCTACACCAACGACGTCTTGCCTGAATGTGATGATCTCTCAAACAAGGGATCACGCGAGGACGTCGGGCGCGAAGGTGACCCCTATGCAGTCGATTCTGAATCGTCTGGCCACTCACTCTCACACCAGTGTCTGTTTGAAGACGAGCGCTGGTCTGATTTGCTGTGATGACACGATTTCTCAAGGCCAAGGTACGGATAAATCGATCCTGGGCTTGAGTTGTCGCCCTTGGTCGACCTGAGCGTGGTCTGTCCTGTACAGATTGTGTATCACGGTATCTGGACCATAGCCTGCTTATGACAGACTGAGAAACATTCATCGTCCGCGCCACAACCGCCTGTGTTGTGCCGATCTGTAGTATGCCAAGGGCACGTAACCTTTCATTTTGGGTAAGCCGACGCATATCAAAATTTGTTTTCTGGTCACTAAAACAATTAAACTGATGTTTCCACCCTGGAATTCAATGCCACAATGACTGTAACATTTAAAGTCAGAGTCGTGCAAATCTTGGGTTGGACCCCCATGATGATCCCAAGCATCACCTGCATTCCATGCGGTAGCTATTGGTGCGTTTGGGCGTCACATGTAACTGGAAATGTTTCTTGTTAGGTTCTATAGTGACTTTTTTCGTAGTCATTTGCATATTTTAGTATTATGCCCTCAAAATCAAATATCCCCTACTTTTTTTGAATAGTATATATGTACCAGTAGGCCTTTTAACTGGATCAAGTACATTTGGTAATGAATAAAGCAGTAAAGTGTCAACGAAAGTATATTGGTAAGTATTGAAAGATCTATTGATAATCAAGAAAACCTACATTCTTTACGAGGTGTGAATGGAAATATCTCTGTATTCTGTAACCTCATTTATACTACTAAAACAGTACTTAGTCTTGGACCTGCAACCATTCTGTTGAACTGTCAATCCAAGATTGAGTACAGTTTGATTTAGATAGAGTCTAGTCTGGCCCAGTTATTTCAGTACATTTGTACATGCATTTAGTCACAATAATCATATTTCAGATATGACCTAAGGGGTTTTGGGAAATAGAGAGGGTCATACTTCAGTTATATCTATACAGGGAGTAGGGACTCTGATTGAAATCTTGATATGTGATGTTTTCTGAGATGGACATTAATTGACAAATTTTGAAGATGATTGAAGTTATCATATTGACATGAGTATTAATATATCATCAGTATAAACAAGCCAACAGTGAGGCTGATGTCCCCCGCCGAAATTGCAAAATAAATAGATGACACATATTAATTAATCGCACATTTATTTTTTTCACTAAGTTTCATCACTCTCTATCAGATAGAATCAAGATTATGTTGTCCCAAACCATCGACAAATGAAATCGATTAGCTCTGCTTAGCTTCAGCTCGAAATGTTAATTATTGAACTCAGTCAAGACATTCACCTAATGAACATCTACATATACATCAAGTTTAAACATTCACCTAATAGACACCTATGCCAAGTTTGAACATTCTACCTCAATTAGAAGGAGAGTTATTGTGTTCCAAAGTTTCTACCAATCAAATTGCTTATCACTCTGCTTACCCTCAGCAAAAAATGTTCATTATCGAACTTAGTTAAGGTATTCATATAATAAATCTATACACCAAGTTTCATCAATCTCACTTAATTAGAACTAAAGTTATCGTGTCCCAAAGCATCAACCAATCAAATTGCTTATCTCTGCTTACCCTAAGCGGAAAATGCTCATCTTCGAACTCCATCAAGGCATTGACCTAATCAACACATACACCAAGTTTGAACATTCTAGCTCAATTAGGAAGAGAGTTATCGTGCCCCAAAGTATCAACCAATCAAATTGCTTATCTCTGCTTACCCTAAGCGGAAAATGCTCATCTTCGAACTCCATCAAGGCATTGACCTAATAAACACATACACCAAGTTTGAACATTCTAGCTCAATTAGGAAGAGAGTTATTGTGTCCCAAAAAGTGTGACGGACAGACAGACGGACAGACAGACGGACGGACAGACGGACAGACAGACGGACAGACAGACAGACAGACAGACGGACAGACAGACGGACGAACCCATTTTAATAGTCCCCTGCTTTCTTCGAAAGGCGGGGGACAATAATACAACTCTACTTCATACTATCATTAACTGTCATATGTCAACTCATAGTTTCACTTTTATCTCAATCAGTTCTTAATTTTACTTTATATAATTATTAATAACTGAACAATATGTATTTGACAACAAATATATTTTGAGGATAATTATGTCTGTTCAAGTGATGCTATATCCATCTGCTCTTCAAACAATAAAAGCCAACAGTTGTATATTTCAACATCAAAACTTTATATAAAACTCTTGACTTCAATATGGATGACAGTAAAACAACAGTTTTAGTGAATCATATTAAAATTTTCTTTTGGTTTATTTTTTTAGATTATTTCCCTGCATTGAGATTTAGTTAAATCTCTATCATCACGATGTTCTACTAGAAAAAGTAAATGAAAACATAAGAATTACCTGTCAAGCCATTTGTCTCGTTCCTCTGATGTACGACACGATATATATTTACTACCATGATGTGTTGAGACTTGAAAACAATGGTCGTGTCCCAATACGCTTGTATGTAAGGGCTTTATGTGAATATCTGGGGATGAGAGGTCTATTGAATGCATACTGGCAGGACTGGTTAACAAGGACTCATGAGACCTGGATGTTCTAATCCTCGAACTGATTAAAGACCTGAAAAATAAAAAATTCACAAAATCAATATTTTGTTAAAATAAAAATATTCTGTCATTCGCTCAACAGAAAATCAGCATGAAAACTCAGATTAACAGGCTTTCATATGTAAAAACAGATTTCCCCATCTTAATATTTCACTTCATGCCAAAAAGAACAACATTTCAAAATCATTCCTAACCCTAAGATAATATCTGTAGTTATTTTTAGTTTTGATATTGTAATGTTTGTCTCCATATTCTCCATAAGACAGTGTTAACTTAGATATTCAGTGACCACCACATTGCAGCTAGTTCAGTGATTTACTGGAAATCAACCAACTACCGATACTAACTTAACAAAGGCTTGAAATTAACAGTATATTAGCAGTTGTTACATCTTTAGCACTCATTTGTCCCAATTTGTAATTATTTATTTAGTCTGTATGTATGTAGAGATATGATCAATATTGTTAAATCCAATTCAATAGTATATTGACAGTTTGTTGACACCAAAAACACAGCATTATTATATTATATAAATACCACAGGTAATACAGTTACCAATTTATTAACATGCTCATCATCACATATTATTTAGGTTGCACATGGAGTTGTTTAATAAGTATTAACTTGTGAAGTCAAGTATAAAATCTCATCAGCCCATCTAAAATATCTGTAGGAGGAGTAGATTTCAGTAGGAGTAGGAGTAGGCCATTTTGGGGAAAATGGGCTGGTTTGCCAGAGTCTCTTGCACAGAGTCTATTCCCATGAGGAAACTCCTGCATACCATAGCAACATTGCTCAGTATATACCAGTAAGTAAAAAGTGAACATCTTACATTACATGTAAATGATGATGATCACTGCCTGTCTTTAGGTACTTTATTTCGGAAATAAGAATTTTGAGATCATGCGGGCGAATTTTCCTTTGTGTGTAGAATCTCGCTTCAAGAGGGGGTGGCGCGGGCCAATTTGATTTCCTAATGCTGGGTGGGATGATTTTTTGATTATTAAAATCAGTCAAAAACTTGCAAATAAGTTATAATCGCAAATATATAGCGATAAACATTTCAGCCGGGTGAAAAAATAAAGGGAGATACCAGAGACTTATATTACTGGAATCGGATTGACTTCCCATTCAGAAATTTCAGAAAAAATGATCAAGCCATTTAAAAACGGGAAAGATCAGAAAATGAAATGAAAATTATGATAAAATATCAAAAATAAAGTGAGATAACTTTGAATGAAAATGAAATGAAAATTGTGATAAGATATCAAAAATAAAGTGAGATGACTTTGAAAACTTTGATCCTTACTTTCTCCAAGGGGAAATTTCTAATGACATCAATCGAGTCGAATCCATCAGATCTATTTACATTTCAAATTTCATAAACCAGCAGTTGCCAGTCAAGATACGCCCACATTTTGCAAGAGATGGATAGGGGTCATAATCCAGGAATTATGGTGTAATAGTGATATATTCAAACAGTTTTTAAATTGTGACCTCTAGAGGGACCACAAGCTAAAAATGTGATTTTTCGTACAATCAGGGCCCATAATTCAGGAAGTTACAATCAGATATGCGCGATTATCGAAATGAACCTAGATCTTTGTGATATAAACATAAATTGTGGCCTGTAGAGGCTCCACAACCTTGATATACCATATTTTTACACTATTTGCGAACGGGGGGCGGCCATTTTGCCCGGCAGTTTTCGTCCGATTTTCATCAAATTCAAACTCAACCAACATTATGGTGTAACGGTGATATATTTAAACCCTTTTTTAAAAATCAGATAGATAATATTTGTGACCTCTAGAGGTACCACAAGCTAACACGATTTTTCATACAATCAGGGGCCATAATTCAGAACATTATGATCCGATCTGCACAAATATCAAAATGAACCAAGATCTTTGGGTTGTAAAGATGCATTTCTAGAGGTCAAAGTTTCACAAAGATTGTATGGTTAGATTCTGAGATATAAGCTTGGCAGGAAAAGAAAAAAAATAAAATAATAATAATCTTAACAAAAACAATAAGCTTTCATATGAAATAACAATAACCTGTCTTACATTTTGCCCTTTTTAAAGAGAAATACAGTTTTAACTGTATTTCTCTTTAAAAAGGGAAAGTTAAAAAAGAAGTTAAATTTGCAGATAGTAGAGAAATAATTACAAAAGAATATTCACAGAAATGGACATAAAGAAGGATTTTAAATGAGTTACATTCAGGGATAATTACTTTAGTTGACCATGTTTAACCCCTTTAATGACAAAAGTAAAGCCTCATTTATAAAGGTAATGTTGTGTGACTGCAAGGTATCATTATACGTCCTACATACAGTGATTATCAAATATACAGCTGTAAACAAACTGATCTAAATCATCTACCAGTACTCGTTAATTTTTACTAAGTTTAATTTCTGCCACTTACAGAGTTTTAAGAAACATAATAAATGTTTTGTCATACTGTTCTCGTTCCCTCTCTAAAACTGTTACATTTCGACATACACCCAAAGAAATCAATCGATAAATAAGTTTCAAGATTATTCTCTAGACTAAGCATAATAAATAATTGTTAAGCCAAACATTATATAATTAAAATGCACCAAATATCTTTACCAATTTCTTAATTAACAGCTTATTCTTATAAATAAAACAAAGTTCAAATTCAATATGTACACCATGTGATAAATCAATATCTAATTAGGTGTATTTCCTGTTAAACCAATATTATACCACAAATGCTGCTGTATCACAATAATATATTGTCTGCCTGACTCTAATAGACGTCTGTTACCATTATCTAGCCTTTCTGCTCAGGTCAAAACAATCCAATAATCAATACTATTAACATTGTCTAAATATTTCTTCCCACAATTCATTTGATCCATAGATATATATATACACATTTTGTTAAAGCAAGTCAAGATGGCCTTTAGTTATAGGCTTCAACAAAGATTTATTATCAAAAGGTCCTCAACCAGTTAGAATATGATGATTCTCTCCCAGCATCATTCAATCAATACAAAGCATATATAATAATCACATGTTAGTTGCAAAGTGGCCAAGGCAACAAATTTATTTTAACCTCATTTTACTTCACTTTTATTATATAAAAAAGCTAACAGTGAGGCTGATGTCCCCTTCGGAAATCCAAAAATAAATAGATGAAACATTGATTAATTGCACATTTATTTTTTTCAAAGGTATAGAGCAATCAAACTGATTATCTATACTAAGTCTAAGCAGAAAATGTTGACCTGGTAAAGAAACTCTACACTAAGTTTCATCACTCTCCATAAGTTAGAATTAAAGTTATCTTGTCCCAAACTAGTCCAATGAAATTGCTTAGCTCTATTCCAACGAAAGATTTAACCAACCAAATTGCTTATAGCTACTTGGCCTTAGCAGAGAATCCTCATCATTGAACTTAGTCAAGGTATTGATATAATGAATCTATATCTGAGTTTCATCACCCAATTAGAACCAAAGTTATCATGTTCAAGACTATCAACCAATCTAATTGATTATCTCTGCTTAACCTTAGCGGAAAATATGCATGATCGAAGACTGTTAAAGCATTCACCTAACAGACACATACACCAAGTTTGACCTGGTTTAAAACCATACTGCAGATCTGAACTAAGGAAAACATCTTGATGACCTGGCGCCTGGTACGTTCGGGCATTTTTATGCGCGAACTCTTAGTTTTTTTTTACTGGCATGCGCACAGGTACTATTTCTTTTTCTTTTAACAAGTACCCAAATCGGGGATTTCGTGCGGAGGTAGTTCGGAGGTAAACAGTCTGTGAAGTACAACACTTGCCACTGTACCTGTGTATCGCTAATTATAAACCGAATGTGTGAAGACAGTTCATACATATCACTCAAAAATTTTTCAGTACAAACTCAGTTGATTCACGCTCGATTTGCTACTAAACAAACCCATCAGTTTATTTTCTCAACAGTGTGACCCGAAGTGACCGCGGATTTATTGACCTTGTATGAACTTATCCATAGCTATATCCTTACACCGAGAGAAATTATCTAGTCTCGGTGAAAAGAACCATGGTCATCTGGTAGAAAATTACTTTTGTATTTTTTGGAACGGAAAACAGTGTTTTTAGAAGCAAACTAACCTGCCGCACATGAGGAAGTCATTATACTAATAATAAAAGGCGAGACCTCTTTTTGCGGCGCAGGCTTATCACTGAGTAGTAAACCGTCCACAAACAATAATATAGGAAGCCTAGTGACGAGTGCAGTAAGTAGGCTATAGACTATAGGTTTGAGTCGAGATTACTCGCTTTCAGTTTACTCTGTTTTTGCGATAACCAATTATGTGAGAAATACCATACTGACATTCGGTTTTTAAAAGTTGTACGCGAACTAAATGCGTTTGTTAGATACTGACAGAGCAGCCCCGAGTCGAACAATTGCCGCCCGAGCTGTCTTCGTCAGCTAGTTTCACAATATCGTGCAATAGGTGTATTAATGTGATTTTTAGGTTTAACCCCGCAAACAATGCCAAAATAGTGTTTTCACTGCTTACAGAAAACTGAAATTTAAAAAAAAAAATTTTTATGAGGGTGACCCTCCCACACACTCCCTATCGAGCTGCCGCTCGGTCTGCGCAGCCTCATGCCTGGCACATACTGTCAACATTGTATATTTTTCCGTTTCCGCCCTCCCCCCCCCCCACAATATATATTTCACGGCTACGTTGCGACGGTACCAGCATACCCAGTTGTTGACACCCATTACATCACTCCTGTCTAACAAATCATAAAGCTGTGGTGTTACGGTGGCGGCATAGTATTTCACCGTAACACCACAGCCATTCTAACCATTCATAATACATCTGACTATCCCTTTACAGCACTTCACTCCCTACACATTTCCCCTCGTTCTACTTTCCCAAACGTCAACAACACATCTCATACATCCAGTTCGCTGATTAACCCTTGTACCACGTCTACTGGATGACGGATCAGTAAGATCCAGTCAAATAATT